TTATTATTGCGGGAGACTTTTGTGGTGCACTATGTATTGTAGTGAGACAACTACAGAAGGTAAAAGCAAAGAGTGCGCCTTCACACTCGGGCGCTCCAAGGACATGTCCTGTGACTTCATTACGTGCTATGCATGTGGTGGTCGCTTTTTATAGACACGAGGCACTCAAGGGCACCTCAGACCGGTTGTAAAACATACTATTATTGTGTACCATTACATGACTGGCCGAACCGTCCCTGCACCATCATAATCGTTCTCAGTAGTCTCTCATCATCCGGATGTGTATTACGAAATCTTGGGAAAATATGAAATTAACTGCCTTGTCACGCAACCTGAACGCTACTTCCCGCCGTCTCCATTCTTTCCGGGATCAAAATCGCCTCCGCCTCGTATGTGCAGACCGCCTGCGTTACCTCAACGACTCTGACTGGGAGGTACTCGGTTACGAGTACCAACGGTGGCTGAATTTTCAGCCCTAGCTAGGCAGCTACGAAGGGGGACCCAAAAGAAACCGGATTGTGTTATAAAAAAATATTACCTTTTTTACAAAATGTCTTCCGTCACTTTGAAAGTACTCTCCACTAGATGCAATGCACTTGTCAAGTCTTTTTTTCATTGTTTGAAGCACCTCTGAAACTCAACTTTGATATTGACCAGTGCCCTTTGCGAAGCTGTTTTTATTGCCGCCATATCATCAAAACGCTTCCGTTAAATTTTTCTCCATTCTTGGAAACAGAAAAAAACCACCCGGGGCTAGGTATGGGAGGTGAGGAACGACAGATCATTCGTTTTTTAAGACCTGGCTCAAATGCAATCGATTGTTTTTTTGTCGCCCTGTGAGAAGGCGAGGAACAAATTTAGCGACAACACATCTCATTTGCAAATCCTCAGCCAAAATCCGCTGGCATGAGCTCCAAACCACTCTTGCTTCTTCAGAAATTTCGTCGACAGAGAAACGACAATCCTTGTTTATTATTTGGTGGGTTTCGTAACGTTTTCGAGATGTTGAAGGGCGCCCAGAACGAGCATGATCGTCAACACTCATCTCACTTCATTTAAAGCGCCCAAATCCCTCAAAAACTTGTGGCTCATGGCATCCTCCTTAAAAGCCTATATAAGTATTTGGCAGGATTCTGTGGCCGATTTTTGAGGCAGGAAACAAAATTTCAAACATACTCTTATTTCTTTTGAATCTGCCACAACTATTTCGCGAGCGGAACACCAGAACAGTAACAGAAAAACAACACTACGATCAAAAGGTCACAAACAAACTGACGCCATCTGGACAATGGTTTCATGAAGGTCTCTATTAACCCCACGTAGCCGAAGAAGTCTCTAATACGTTCACGACAGGCATCGCACTCTCAGACCAGTTACAAGTATTTAGGGTCCCCACTCGTTAGTCGAGTTCAACCGCTGTCTAGAGAAGAATTCTAGTGGTCGGCTGCTCTAACCGGTAATTTTCAGTGGGTTGGATACCGTAATTTTCCATGGTTCGTTCTCCGGTCTATACCAGGCGAATACCGGATCGGTACCCTAACGGACCAAGGACCACGCGCGATCATTCCTTCCTCTTCATTGTCATATCATTATACTTGACTTACACACATTAAAACTTACATGCACTACACTACCACACATGTCGGAAGACCATTCTGGAGTATAGACCTTGTCCTGGATTAGTCGGTGCCCCGCTGGAGTGCGATATACGATAGGGGGAAACCCCAAAAGCTGACGAATTGGTCGGATTGGACGGATCTCGCCATCTAGCGGGGGAAGATCACCCCCCCTTCCCGTGATAAAAAATGCACTAGCAACTAACGACCTTAGCAGTTGTCGCGCCCGGAACCATTCATCAGTTAATCAGTCTTTACATCCAGAACAATGATACAAATGCCGAGATGGGAAAAGAGCTGCAGGGTAGAGATGGGCCTAGGGACTACCTCGGTGTTCATAGAGAACGAGGAAGCTTTTAACTCGAAATTGTTCTCAGAAGAGCGGGAGGCCCTGGTAGGTCCCTCGGGTGGTGGTATATGGCAGCCAAGGAGGGAGTGTGGCAAAATGAAGATAGCCCAGACTCAAGAGAAAAGGGATCTAACTAGTACGAGGAAGTCTGTGCCATTTTGTAGAACTGCTGTAATTCCACGCGGTAGTATCGTATCAAGGAGTAGTACTATCTCACTTCCTCTGTTAGTGGTAGGTTAAGTCCATTCATTTGAATTCAAAGACGAAATCTTTACTTCATGGCGAAAGTAATATATAAATAGCAATGTTGTATAGAATCTACAATTGTTATTTGTAAGAAAACAAGAAGTATTTTCCTCGAGGGATCTTGTGAAAATTTTGGTAGCCACTAATAATTTATACACAAAATTTTCAGACATTTGTTTCGAAACGACTTTTTAATGATTGATCTTGGCCCAAAAATGGATCTGTGCAAATTTGAAGGTCATAAGCTCTAAAATTTGGTGGAAAACCACAATTTTCTAAACAAAATCGCAAGAGAGCTACATTTCAAACTTTCCCTACTTTTCCAAATTTGTCTGGAGCTCCCCCGTGTTACTAATAGACACTAAGTATTTTGGGTTCAAGGGTTGTTTATTAATAGGAAGATATTTCATAATATTCTTTTTAAAACTTACCAAGGTCAAAATTACGTGTAATAGATGCTATTTATTTATCTTTAACTTTTACTCATCGTTTAACTATTTATAGTTAAAATGATGGGAAGGGATTCTGGAACTCAAGAAAACGTGCGCAGATGATCTTCTCCTCATACGTCACATACAGTTTTTTGACTAAATAAACCTAAATCTAAAAGTGCGAGTGTGAGTATTTGTATTGTCAACTGATTGGATTTACTTACCTCAATATAAAGGCATTTGAAATTGACGAATATTAAGGTACTATTACTTCTTGTATTATTATTTAAACAGTAACCACAGGACAGAACAAAGGTTTTCAGATCTATTGTCCATCTCCTAAATTAGATTTTAATAATCCGTAACTTCTGTAAGTGTCGGGTTAATAATTAGTTCATTAAACGTATTGATGCAATGTCAGGTTAAGTACTACAGAAATAATACAGGAGTGAAGTGCGCGAGCGCCAGTGGTGGAACGTGTCGTGGCGCCCCGCTTGCGGGACTACCGCGTTCCACGTCTCGAACACCCCGTCGCGACGGACGCAGCCACTAGTGGAGAACGTAAATTGCGGACCAGAAGGAAATCTTAGTTTGACCTGGGTGTAAATTGCGGACCGACCCAGAGAAGGGCATAGGTAAATTTGCAGCCCGATAACCTCATCCCCTTCCAGGTAAAAGTGGAAGGTGACGCTATTTTCGAAGAACCAAATTTCAAATCCATTAGTTTTAAAACACAACTCCTTCCCCCGATTTTCCAGACATACGAGGAGCATATTTCCTTCGATACTCTTCTAGTGCTCTCTTTGCTTTTCATTTTGATACAGGAGCTAGTCTGGAAGATTTTCAATAAGCCACAAAGAAAAGGTGAACAGCAGCGAGGCGGCGGCGGCGGCGGCGGCGGCAGTGGCTGCGGCCCCCCTAACACGTTACCTGCTCAATCACTCCTTTTCCTCACCTGGGTTAATTTGACACGCAATTTACATGCAGAAGTACAAAGTTTTGCGAGAAAAGATCGAGGGATTATTTGGTCCGCAATTTACATTCGGCCACAACTCTACTTTCCAGGATGCAACGCCCACGCGGATACACCCCCGGTCGGATGCGATCGCTCAGTGGCGACATTGTTGTCTCTGTAGCATCGTCAATCGGGACGTTCCGAAGATTCAAATCCCGACGATGGCGGATTAGGGATATTAGCTGTGTCGAATTTAACCATTGTCTAGACGAGAAAATAACAAGCACAGCGGCCGGTTACTCTCGTCGGTAATTTCTCCGCTCAATAGCACGTGAATGTCGGAGCAATACCCTAACAATTGGGTGACAGGTGCAATACCTTAGTACTCATTCTTGTCCCAACATCTCCCCCTGCACACACAACCTGAACGCAGCATCAGGGCCCTCGAAGTGAAAGAGCCCCTACTGGCGACACCCAATGATATTGGCAATGAGGGGCCATATTTGCATTTTCTGCTCTGGGGTCCCCAAGATCGTAGCTAAGCTCCTCTTGGGCTAAGTTAGCTTGCCACCCCCCCCCCCAAAAAAAACGGATATTGTGGCCAACAGAAGCAAAAACGCTGCTAGTTATCCAAGAGTACACACTGCTCAAGAACAAACAAAATTATTAGAATCCAGCTAGATCCGTACCATTCCACACTTTTTAAATCATTGTTTCAAGGTTAAAAATAGCTTTTCAGTGGATCCCATCTGTGAATGGTTATTCAATAAACTATACGTTGAAAAATTATAGGCATCATGACGAGGTGATTAACACATCTATCTCATTTTACATAGTTCAATTTTTGTTCTACCAACTTCTATAAATTCAAAATTAAAATTTTTCACTTAACTGGATCATTTCTACACATGTAATAAAATTGTAATGCTCTAATTTAGAATTATTAATTTATAATATTAATATATAACTATTTCTTTTAAATTAGTAATTATTGTGAGGCTTGTTCCAGGATCTGTTGAAATTCGTATGACTCTGGCTAGGGATATTTTACCTCCTTAGTTCAGTTTATCAGTGTCCCAATTTTGGTTGAAATTCCAAATTCACTGAAACATACAAACTTACAGACTGAACAATAAGGAAAAGTACCTTACAATGATGAAAGGAAAGATAACATCAGATAATATGAATCCTGTATAGTTTATTTTTGTTAAAATTTGTACAAATTCATGTAATGTATCAAAAATTATATTGCCCTCAGGACAATACAAAAATACTCAATAAAGAACAAAAACATCAAATCATCGTAACTCTTGCATTCTTGAATGCTTTTTTTTAGAAACATCTATAAAATAAGAGATTAGCAACAAATATCCATATATCAATAAGAAATCAAGAATGAATTTAGCAAATAACAAAATATAGACTCTTAAAGGAAATACAAAACATCTTCCAGTTGAGCATTTGGTGCCCGATGCAGTGCTTGGCCCACAAGGTATGCTAATTTATGAGCATACTGACAAGGAGCTGGAACTCGAACGGTCCCCTGTAAAATACAAAACAATAAAATTATTTATTTCCTAAAATAGCCACTTTTCACTCTAAAATACTCCTTTGACCACCTAATGGGCAGAAAGTGAGGCAAATGTTTACTTCAAGCAATGTAACAAACGTTTGTTCCTAAAAAATCAGAAACTTCATATAAAATGCTAATGAATATGTTCATCCATAATACCCTTTCAACTTAATTTCTCATTTGTATACGTAAGCTTCCGCGGCTCGAATCCATTAATTCTCGGCTATCCGGGAGACGCCGCGTTGTTGGCTGGGGTGCCCCAGCCAACAACGCGGCGTCTCCTGGATAGCCGAGAATTCATTAATTTCTCATTTAACTGAATCACTTAAAGGAGAAAAATAATTTTATGTGAATGTATTGTCTCTAAACCTAAACAGGAAATTCATATTGATTATTTTGTTATCATTTCAGTACCTCGATCCAAGGATGAATCTTATAAATTGAATATGTGAGACTCCATGAATAGTTCTTGGCTTGAAAAAAGTAATTTGGCTAGACAATGGAAAGATTTTTTTTCTAATTACTTACACTCCAATTGTAATAGAGATGAGTGAGTTTGTATGTAAGCCTTTGTAGTTTATCAGGATCCAATCCAAGATTATCACTAATGACATTGTATGATGTAGGGCTCACAGTTCCTTGTCGCACAGACTGAGAGACTAAAAAGAAATCATACCTGCAACAGAAGTTATTATCATATACATCCAAAAATGTAATTCCTCATTTCTTTTTAAGCATATTATGTTGGGATGATCATATGGTTTGAAAACTTGAATGATTTATAATTTCACCTTTCAGGCATTGTTATGCAATCATCAACCACTGTTCCAGGTGGTGGATTATTGTCTTGCAGAAAAATTCTTGTGTTGATTCGCTTTGTAACAATGATGAATGCCATATGCAGCTCTTGTCCTGATTTTTGATACATTTGACCCAACTTTTCCTAAAAGTTCACAGTTGATTAATTGAAATTTGCTGATTATATCTTTGAAGCATTTTATGACAACTATTTTGTAATTACCTTCATCAGGGTTACTTCATGCTGGAATACATAAGGAATCTGACCCTCTCCAACACCATCACGATAAACAACAATGCGTTGAGGTAAGTGACCATCATTGTAGTCCATGAACTTACGAAGAGCTTCTAGTTATTTGAAAGATCAGAAAAAAAGTTTTGTTTTAATTTATAGAACAGCAAGATGAACCTTTTGTCAAATTAATTCTACCACTTACAAAATGGAAATAACTTGAAATTAATTTTTGAAAGAAATGAACTAGTATATCATATATAATAAAATACTTGCTGCAGAGATTTATGGACAAATCATTAGACAACTCTTCTCCTGTAGTATGAGGTGACACTGCACTGAAATAACGACTCAATGTTTTATCAAGAGATGCCACAACTGCTCCAAAGCTTTTGCCTTTGCTTGTAGTGTCGTGGCAGACATCAAAACCAACAACCATCAGCCCTGATAGAGGAATTTCTAGAGTCCATGGTGCACCTCCAATTTTGCAGTTCATTTGTATTGCCACTTTTGTAGCAATTGACATTACCCCCTTACTTGTTAAATTCTTTTGAAGAATCACTTGGGTTGGAACTGTGGAAGAAATTCAAATAGGCTCTGAACAAATTTTTAAGATACTTCTTTACATTTTATGTAGAAAAACATAATAAGATTATTCAGTATAAACTTTTTATTGAAATTGTTCATAATCTGTAGTCTCATAAATGAAATGAAATGAAAGAGAATTCTCTTTCATTTGTCATTTAGTTAAATCTCAACTTATGAGAAGTTACAAACTTGCAAAAAACACATAAGTTGAGAGGAATAGCTACTTCTTTTTTTGCTGAGCACAGTAAGAGCTATACGAAGCGAGATATTTTTATATTATTATACAAATAAGATTATTTATAAGAATATTTTATTGCATATGCACTGAATACTATTGGTAAGAAGAAAGATTTCGATTCTGAGAGTGATTTTGGTTCACTCTTTTGTATAACGTTTGCAATGTCAAATGTCTTAGATTTTATTTTTATTGAAATAATGGTCACTCATCTGCAAATTCTCATAAATCAAAGGCTGAATACAACTCTAGAAAATGTTTTTCCTGGAGCAAAATATTTAGAAGCATTCTACAACTTGAGAAAATTACACTTTCATATAGAAATCTTGGAAAACTCACCTGCTCTTTCAACACAGCATTTCTTTTTAATGCTACTATACCGATCTGAACGATTGTTTGGCACAATGCACATTACAAGTTGTGGATTTTTACTTGAAATAACCCTTTCCAATGCATCTACATAAGAAGCTGCACGATCATCTTGAATTTCATGCCTAGAAGATTTTTAGAATCAGGCTATTATGGAAAGCATTGCATGTCAGGCATCTACCTTAGGCTGTTGCAAGTAGCTTTTCAAACTCTTTAGAATTGAAAATTAGCCTTTTCTTTTGATGAAATATTTCATAAAAACCATATGTTACATAATTTTTTTACCATCAAAGAGAACGAAGTACTTTTTTATTTGATAATTTGATGCAACATATGTGATAGTTTTACCTATCGAAAAATGTATACTACTACAATTTATTGATTAAATAACAAAAAACAATTGCTCTATTCATGAAAATCAAAAAAAGTACTTCTGTCTATGTGCTGGAGGCAAAATATGGTTGAACAAATCAAGGAGGTAGATTGCTAGATTGTGGAATATAATATCTGTTTTTGTTGATCTAATGCTACACTAAACAATGTACTTATGGATATTGATACTCACATAAATGGATTTGGGATTGTGAAATGCATTCCAGAAGCTGCCTTGATCAAAGAAGCCACAAATGTCTGCCCATCCCTCTTGCTTCTACTTGGACATATGACTGCCCAGTTCTCAAGTCGAGGATTAGTTAGCATTGGCTGACCTGCAAGAGAAGGAAAATTATGATAATATAGATTTTGTCATGAATATGCATGTAGAATAAAAATAATTATCAAGAGGGAGGGGTGCACCTTTGAGGCACTATTATTTTATAGGTTTGATTTTTTTTAAACCTGAAAATCATTAATATTGTTTTTAAAGTACTTTTTGTTCAAAATACGACGACGCAAAATATCAGAAGAGTTCCTTATAATTTAACTTATAACAATGCCCTTGGCAATGGGTAATAAATTCCTGACTTTCACCTCAAAAACTCAGAATTCTGACCATTCAGAATACATTTTGGAAATGTAATATTTTAAGTCGTAGTTTGATAGTACATATAGTTAGAACAAGTATTAACATAAACATACATATAGTATTAGAAGTGCTGATAGGGAATGCTCAGTGTAGCACCATTTGAGAATTTGTTTGGAGAAAATAATAAATAAATTATAGTAAATTCAACAGACAGAAAATTCAGATATCTATGACACTATTAGCAACCGAGGTAAATAATGTTATGTTGTTTATATGTGGGATAGATCATCTGCAAATTATTTTAATATTAGTTGTAGATACAATGTATAATCTGAATTATTTGTTTACTTTAAGGTACATGTTATTATTCTTAGTTTTGCTTTGTTACAGGTGTCTCAGAATGAATGTTACACACTTCTACAACATGTACATAGGTAAGAAATTATCACTCATTCCCAATGAATTTATAGAGAATTGAATGTTGCATATAATAAGAGTTACATGCTTTTATACATGTGAAATTTGGTAAAAACCTGATTTCTTAACAATCAGGAAGATGAGAAGGAAGAAAGAAAGAAAACACCCCAGACACGCATGGTTGCCATTTGACCTCCTGTCCCTCTGTTTTTTAAGTTTACATGGAATGTCCTCCTATTTGTCCTGTTAATACTGTCATCATTTTAATGTAATTCATTAAAGGGACTTCATGTCTTAAATTCTACATTTTTACTCAAATAAATGGTCTGGAAAATAGATCATTAGGCTTATTGTGATATAAAATTTATTTATGCTTATTGTTTGGTAGATAATAAAAGTGAGTGCAGGGATGAAGTTATCCAATTGGAAGCTTTAATTTTTAATAACACAAAGTAAAAATCTTTTTAAAGACTATTAATGGTTTGGAATTGTTGAGTTCATTGTCTGTATACCGTGAAGTATGAAAATGTAAAATGGCCTCCTTTTTTAAGTAAGAAGTCCTCCATTGGGAAACATTTTTCTGGTAACTCTGCACACACATGACCAGCCAAACACATGTGTATGCAGAGTTACCTACAATGCAGGAAAAGCATCACATGTCCAACATTGTTATAAGAAATTTCCAACTACATGATCATTTTTGACTCCTCTACATGCCCTAGAAGCCTGAAACATTTGATCTGGGGAACTTGCATATGTTGTCAACAGCTGAAAGAGTACTACTTATTTTTTCTTCAGAAAATCAGCACCGAGTGTTATTATAATATTTATGCAAGGATTTTGTTTTTTCAATTGGAAATCCAGAAATGTTGAATGTTTTTGTTTAAATTAATTCAAATGTATACTATTATTCTCTCTCTACATGACACACCATAAGAATACAATAGATTTTACCCCTTTTAGAAGAAAGCAATGGACACAATACCCTGTAAGTGTATTACAACTGGATAGGGAATATTATAAAACAGATTTAATATGAAAAACAGGCAGCATATTATGGCAATTAGAATTATCAGGAGCTCGTGCAACCTGCAAAATATCACACATAACTCTAAAACTATGTTCTAGAGCCTAAAATCCCATGTCCCTGTGAGCAACACAGATTATGTTTTCTATACAGTAATCTACAAAATGAATCCTTACATTTTATGATAGCCCCATTACTCACAGATTCCCAGAAACACTAAAGGTTTGGGTTCCACTGTAAAGCTGTTTTCACTTATAATACATTGATTTAAAAATTTCACTTTTCTGAAGATATACATTTTTTGCGACCAAGTTTTGGGGATCTGCACTCTTCTTAATAATCTAGCTATTTATTCCTAGAAATACTCATTTCATACAGCACAGGAAACTAAGTTATTCTATGACACTTTAGTGTTTATAAAAGCATTTATAATAAAAAACTTCTCAAATTTGCATGGATTTAATCACTAAGGACATACCTCTAAGATCTCTGGTCCAATCTGTTTCTTGACTGGGATCATACTTTGAATGGCCCTGTATGATTCTCTCACGTGGGAGGACACGGCCCTCAAATTGCACAAGATTTTCACTCAATCTCATGTTCCACTCTTGCAAATCCTCCATAATCTAAAATAAAAACATTTGTTTGAAACTTCAAAAAAGTTTCATTGTAAAAATAACACAAAGTAAGATCTGTCCATACTGCATAAAACTAAATGTAAATCAATGCTAGGAAAAATGATTAGTAATTTTAACTTCTGATCATTGTTCTTTCTCTTGATCATAGTGTAGAAATTGTGATTAATAAATAAATTGTAAATTTTAGTACTAATTACATTTTTTTAAATATAATTATTTTAACTTTTTATAAGATACTATAAATTTCTAGGTGTGCAACAGCCTTTTAAGTATAGGTATTGTGGTGAGTTATCGTTGGCATTTCTAATGAAATAATTATATGCGTCGTCATTGACAACACACATAATTATTGACAAAACATCAACAATATAATTACATATTGATGAACTTTGTAAATGCTTCTTTTTTATCAGATCATATCTGAAGAAAATAACTTACGCTTTCCTCACTTCGAAGTCGTCTTCCAAAATTGAGCAATTTCTGGACACGCATTTTAGGACCCACTCTGGTATGTTCTGCCAGAGCCCTCATTAAATTGAAATTTGCTCTCATGTCATCTGTCAGCCCAGTCAAACGACAGAGTTCTGGTACCAAATAAACCATTTCAGACATACCTGCACGACGTTCTCTGGGCTTTGTTCGAGAAATCAACATTGGTTGATCTCCTTGAGTGATGTTAATTTGATATTTCTGGAAAGGAAGTAATGTTTGAAATATTGGAATAATGACTTATACAATGGACACAAAATATGCCTATAAAAAACAACAAACTTCTCTGTAATACTGCTTGTAGGAGATTTCTTGACCACTACGCAATTTAAATTTTGAGTCTGGGCATACTCTGAAATCAACATCATCAATTCTGTAGGTTCTATTATTGTAATCAGTTAGGACTACTGATCCAATTATGGCCTGTTGGAAAATTCGCTGTAAAAAACAAAAAAAAGAGAAATGGTATTATAGACTTTAATAAGAGAAATTTTCTTTGGAATAGGAAATAATAAATTTGACCAATTTTCTCTTCAAAAGTATAAAGTTTTACAGTACATACTTGGAAATCTCTTTCTCCTTTCTTAACACATTCTGTCAATAAATCCAAAACATTATCCTGCCTCATAACTTTGTGTGTGATTTCTGAACACATCAAAATACTGTTTTCATGTTGTCGTATGGATGTAACATAACCTGGCCATAATTCTAACTTATACTCTCGAACCTCAACCTGAAAACAATATGAATGATCATCATTATTTTTACTCTCTTTAGATTTTCTTAGTATAGACAATTGATTTCATAAGATAAATACCTTGGCCTTTGGATCAAAAAAATTGCGACCCACTAATTGCAGATTTAAATGAGCCAAACATTTTCGCATTAGAATGTTGAAGAATTGAAGATAATGGTAGTCTCCTAATGCTAAATCTCCCACCTGACGAATTGTGATCACAACTTTCTCATCATCTGATTGCCGTTTTGTTACAAGTTCCATGGGTCGTGAAGCCTAAAAACAATGGAAAGATATATAGAAAGATCAGTAAATCCAAAACATTTTGTTTATAAATACTTGTATTTGAAATAGGTATTTTAAATATATTTTGTATTTGAAAAAAACTATTTTTGAGGTTTTTGGGTATATTAAAAAAATTTAAATACATATGAAGAAGATATCAAGAGTAGTTTCATTTTGTTTGATTCTGCTAGTGAATGTACCTTTTTGAAACAAAAATGAATGCCCCTTTCAGCCATTGAATTTGAATTCTCTTAATTTATAAATGATACATCTAATCATTAAACATGCTGATGAATTATCTGACAATAAAAAAAGTGTTTATTCATTATAAAACTAGTGTATGTTCATCCTCACTAGTTAAAAACTGTTTTTCTATTTGTGTTGGACTTTTTTTAATAATAATTTTATATTTGAATCTGTTTATACACTTGTGTATTACATTTAGTTATTGTTCAGAAATTGGTATGACTGTCAATTACTCATTTATTGATAATTGATAATCATAATATATTGTTGCAATAAAAAAGATATAATACAAAATTATTATATTTATGGTATTATGAGTATTTTAAATACGTATGTGTTTAGCAAATCAAAACCTTATGTACTTTAAATATGCATTTAAATACTTACTTACAAGGTATTTAAATAATAAGTTTAAAGTATTTTGCCCAACCCTGGTTGATGATGAATTGAATAAATTGCTGATTTTAGAAAAAAAAATGTGTAATAAATAAAATGATTTAATGAATATTGTTCTGAAGGAATACATTTCAGCAAACGGTAATCTATTCACAATTTTTATTACCATCACTGAATAAATTCCTTAATTACTCTCATATGATGAAATGAAATGTTAATTATTGGAAATCTTGACTGTACCTCACTTGTTAACCTGTGACTTGTGAACATAACTGTGCCATCAAAAATGTAACCTCCGAGAGATGAACGATGATTTCTTAAAAGTGCCTTTCGAATCTGAGTTCTGTCTTCATCAGGAGAAAAATCCACACGATACTGATACAGACACCAGTCAGTGTGTGTTTCCAATTTATAATAATTTGCAGTGAGCATAACTCTTTGACCAGTTGACCCTGTGAATTTTAATACCTTTTTATGCAATTATATTCAAATAATGTAATGATTTAATGCAGATTAAGAATTAAATAATTTCATAAAAAATGGTAATCAATTTAATATTGCTTCTCACCTCTTTTGCTTCCTACATGGGCTGGTCGTGTTCGAACTATATCACTTTGTGCTGAGCGACGACCACGTGTTGCAGTTGCACGTGATGAAGGGGGTTGATCTCCTCCCCCTGCTGAGGCAGAAGATACTGTGAAGGTGCAATTCATTGAAAGAAATGAAACAAACTTCATATGGCACCTTATGGCTATTTATTCTGAATTTATTAGTTATATCTTATGGCGTAAACAATAAATTATGATACGCAAAGTAAGATGATACTGGATTCCCACTCCCTATGTAATGCCAGCTTTAACACATCCTAAAAAAATCTTGCATCACCCCATTTCTTTACTTGTAATTTTTAAAAAAAAGCGCATCATTAATTGAATTAAACAATTAATACATAGTGACTTTTTATTTTATTTAGCCTGTATATTTATTTTTATTTATCTAATTAATTTCATGTTTTGCCTTGGTATAAGATTAAGTCAGATTTATCCCTGTAAATAAGGATAGGATAACTTGTGGTGCTGCAGAATGGTGCAAACGTAGATTTTGTTTGAAACATTTTTTTTCATTAGATGGCGCTGTAATCCTAGAAAATCCAATTTTTTTTCGCAGTTCTGGTAAAATTTTGCCCAGGGGTGAAAAACATGATGGTATTTTATGATTCTTATTCTAGTAATTGATAAGAGTGACCCCCCCAACTTCTAATAGAGAGCGGCGCGGCGGCGGGGGGGGGGGGGCGGCGTTTAATTTCAAATTGCGTAAACATCGGGGGCGCTTGTAATACACCAAATGGGATGCTTGTTTTAGGTGAGTCCACCTCGCCTCTCCATCTGTCAGAGTGCTTGATTTAAATAATCATTTCAGCAAGTGCTCAAAAACTTGGCTACCTACTTCGATGCATTTCTTTATCCGCCCTTGGAATGATTGAACACAACCAAGAAGTTTTTAGGGCGAAATCTTACGTTCTGCGTGATTCGCTCAATCATGTTCTCGCGTGTTGTTGGCAGTTGATCATAAACTTCACCCTTCAAGTGTCCACACAAATAAAACCCAGGGGAGGTATGATCTGGTTATCTGGCAGGCCAAGATCCTGTCCCACCTCTTCCGATCCACCGGCGAGGGTACACGCGATCTAATACTTCTCGATAATTATGAACTACGACAACCATCATGTTGAAACCAAGTTGTTTGCCGCAAGTTAAGGGGAATGTCTGCAAGCAATAATGGAAGTTCGTTCTCCAAGAAGTTTCGATTCTTTTCACTATTAAAATTGCCGGCGATGAAATACGGACCAATGAGTTTGTAGCCAATTATGCCACACCAAACATTCACGTTGAAAGGGCGTGATGTTCAACTTGACGTAACCCATGTGGGTTTTCGGTACTTCAATAATGCATGTAGTGTCGATTGATTGCACTGCTATTCGTGAAAGTTGACTCTTCAGAGAACAATACTCTCGCAAAGAATGAAGGATCCCTTTGTATTTGCAGAAGCGCCCATTGACAGAATGTTATTCGATTTTGAAAATCATCGCCATGAAGTTCTTGATGCAAGGAAACATTGAACTGTGATATTTATTGGTTTTCAACATTTTCCAAACAGTAGTCTAATTCCCGCACCATGACTTATTTGACGAGTACTGATGTGGGAATTACGGACAACTGCAGCTAGTACCGCAATTTCATTTTGTTCAGCAGAAACTTTTTCGGCGGAACACTTCCCTCGGTAGAGAACTCGGTGCAATGAAGCGCGTGATCATACCCCGTTTAGAAAACGTTAAGCATAAAGAGTAACAGCATCATCGAGATTCCTGCCACTTTCTCCATAAATTAACACCATTTCAATTTTCTCTTGCAACGTTATAGCCGCCATCGTAACCAGGACAGCATTCAATAAAAATTACTAAGAAATGAAGGATCCTGACTCAAAAGGGACGATGCGCACAGACTGAAAGTAGACCAAAAACTAAGGTAACCTAATTCAAGAAGTCAAGGAAAGTGCGTGGCGAATGAAAGCGCAAAAAGAAGAAGAAGAAGAAGATGTGCTCCCAATCGTTACAGACCAGGAACTGAAGAACGATGTGCATCCAATGGAAGCAGACCATAAACTGAGAGCCGAAGTACACGCAATGAAAGCAGACCAAGGAGTGAAGATACGCAATTGGTTTTTTATTTTGGAACGTTTTAGCAAATAAGATCTTGGAAGAGTTATCCCTTTTTTAGCCCTATTTCAATCACTTTTGAATGCTTGAATGAATGAACAATCACAATTTGAAATGTGTGCGATTTGAAATTTAAAAGTAACCTCCCTCTCTGTCAGTGGTTGGGGGGTGCTCACTCGTATCAATAGATAAGATTCTTATCATGATTTTTTCACCCCCTGGTACAATTTCACCTGAATTGAGAAAATTGTTTTCTATAATTACAGCGCCGTATACTGAAAACAAACAAACATGTTTCAAACAAAATCTACTTTTTTTTGCGGATGATCCGAATCCGCTATAAAAAATTGGGGTTCCCATTTAAAATTCGCAAGTTGCCTCACCACTCAGCCCCCCGCGGAGGGGGGGGCAGATCGAGATTGGTATCATCCAATAGGTTCTTCTGAGACAAACAAATTTTATTCTAATAATTTCTTGATACGATTCTTAGTTTTCAAGATATTTAATTGTCTCAAGATAAATCACCCTGTATATGTGAACAAGAATTATCTACTTTTCATTATCTAGGATCTCTTCAATACGATTTTTTCTGCTGAAAAAATGCCTGTTTTTGCTACAGCATTACAAAACTTTCTCTATTCTATTGTGTATTAAGCATTAAAAGAACTAGTGGTGCTACAGAATGGAATATATTTTTCGTGACAGTTTCCTAATCTCTTCAGTTTGGGCTGTCTTTTAAATATTACCTCAATGTATTCTCAGCTGCCATCTGTGGGCACCTTAAAGATAATCCTTCACGTTTTCTCAATATTTTGAATCCATGACAGTATAATTTAATATGATTTTAAGGATGCTATAGAAAAAGTTGGACCAGTTTTTAAGAAAACATCATTTTAATGGTTCTGAAAATGCGCAATTTTAGGCTCATTTTCTTAAATCATTTCTGAGTTTTTGAGAAACTGTTGAATGATTTGAAGCACTTTTACAAATGCAATAATACATATTACAAATTAATATCTGGCTCCCTGCAGGATAGGAGAGAGAGAAAATTGATAGGAGAGAGAACCTTTTCCTGAGAAAACTGTACAATATTTCATATTATTTAAAGGAAGTGGTGCTACAATAGCACATATTTTATCATATTAGTGGTAATTATTAGATAATATTGTAGTTTTACTTCCTGTACTATCATTTAAGCCAATTCTAGAAAAACTAATTAAGGGAGAAGAGGTGTGAAAACAGAAAACACTTCAATTTTTTAAAAAGTCTACAAAGAAGATGATTACTGACAACACTAAAGCTATATGTAATGTTCCAAGTAATATTTCCTTATAACTTTACGAAAAAGTTTGAAAAAAAAAAAAATCTTTTTTAAATTTGCAATCTCCTTTCCTGCAGGCAGCAATATAATAGATTCGTTCTTTATTATGATCTTTATGAACTTACCACCAATATCCAGTCTTTGCATTCTCTGTGTAAGACCGCGTTTTCCAGCGCTCTCTGGATCTCTTGAATACGGTCTACTACCGACATTCTGAGAATACAAAGTAAGCAATAGTTGGAAAGTAGTTGAGTAGTGGATTTTTCAGAGATGTTTATTGACAAAAGTACTAGGCACTCATTATTTATTTAGAAAATATGAATCAATTAGGTATTTTAATAGATTCTTTGGAATAGTAGTTATGTCATTTGCTCATGCTTCAAGAAAATATATCTGGAAATATTTAAAGCATAGTTTTTTGACGTAAAGCAAATAATATTTTTTCTCTTATCATATTCAAGAATTTTGGTCCTTGACTACAATCACCAATATTTGAAAATTCTCATTTGTTAATATAATACATTATGAAGCGATTTTTATTTTTTACCCTAAACTTCCATTTTCTAAAAAATATATTCAAATTTATTTGTATACAACTGAATTTTTAATCCCTAAGTTACAGAAGTTCAAAATCACAAAAAAAGTTTATGTGTGCTTGTTTGCAATACACAGAATTGAATTGAACATCCTCTTAATTATTGCCAAACTGACAAACCTGTGATGATCCACGTGGTTGCTGGTAGGTTGGAACTTGTTCCTGGTGTCCTGATCGATCATCTTGACGTTGATAACCTGAGCGGTCACCTTGACGGTCCTGGTATGCTGGGCGGTCAGCTGAACGTTCCTGATAGGCTGGGCGTTCACGATACGCTGGTCGATCAGCCTCGCGTTGCTGATATCCTGCACGGTCCCCTTGACGATCGTAATACGCTGCTCGATCATCGGGACGTTCTTGATAAGCCGATGGTGGGCGGTCACGTTGAAATCCGGGCCCAGCGCTGACCGGAGGTGCAGGCGCAGGTGACACATCACCTGGTCGAGCTGCTGGCGCAGCTGGTTGAGAGGTTCTCGCCCGTGCACGAGCCCGACCTCGGGCTCGAGCTACACCATCTGACATCTTTAAATATGATTTATTGATTGATTAGTGATTCCGGACGCGACAACCACTAAAGTTATTTGGTCCCGTACGTGAAGTGCATGTTATGGAGGTGATCTTGCGCTGAATGGCGAGATCCGCCGCCGACCTATGTCGGCTTGCGGGGATATTTCCAATCAGGTATCTCACAATGACGGGGGGCACCTTCCCAGTCGGGACAAGCGCTAAGATCACGAGAAGTGTAGTAATGTAGTGGCAGAGAATGTACGTGTAAGAAATGCGTGAGGATAGGGCAAGGAAGAGGCGGTCGCGCGCGGTCCGTGGCCCGTTTGTTAGGGTACTGCTCCGAAAATCGCATGGTGTTGTTAAAAAAAAATCAGAGCAGCCGGCCACTAAAATTCTCCTCCAGACCGATTCGACCTAGCTGACAAGGTAGAGTCGAAAAGCTTTAAATATCAGGCTTAGTATGAAGTCATAGATCTAATCGCAATTCTATTTTTAACTTGAATGTGTGATAATGATACATTTACTAAAGGAAAATGCGAATATTATATTAGTATAAATCATGTTAATCCTTAGTATATGTATGCGCAACCTTATACAAATGGGGCAGTGTCAAAATTAAAACATTTTTTAAAAAGATTTTCGATATCTCTCAAAAATACGAATTTTGGATAAACGCCTCTAGAAGGCACATTTTGCGTCCGAATGTGATAATGATGACATTTTTCTGAAACTACATTAAATTCTGAACAAAGATAAACTTCATTACAAGGACACTTTTTCCATAAAACTTCTTTGCTTATTCTGACGTATTTTACTTATAAATAAAAATACAGTGAGAATGAAATCATTTAGTAACACAATTAAAAAGTACAGTTGACGTTATGTTGAGCCATTGACAGGGTTGTAAGGTGACTTGGAGATCTTTCTCAAGGGTATAACATTTCACCAATTTGTCTGGTTAAAAAAGCTAAAATCTGGGATGGAACATTTTCCCTGCTATTTGCGTACTCTTTAAGTTACTTAAAATACTCGTCTGAGTTTTAAAGTTTTTGTTTTTGGCGTGTATCTGAATTTAAACATGCTTACTAGTAGGATTAGGTATTAACAAAGTCAAATATATATTTAAATATTAATTCTTACATTGGATATGCCCTTTTTTCCTTCCTAAAACAAATGTGACATTAACTCATGAACCGTTAAAGATTTTTTGACTATCCTTTCTTAATATTGTTATTTGGATTATATTTTAGTTTCTTAACCTTAATTTGAAAATTGAATAGGGACTTGTATTAGAACTTAAAATCACTGGTAACGATTTTGATTGACAGTGTTTTGTTAAGAAGCATTTTCTCTAACAATTTGAGGTTTAGACAGAATAATTGACTTTCTGCTGTCAAATAAAAAAAATCATAAAAATATATTTAGAAAAAGTAGAAGAGTTATGTTTCATGCCGATCGGAACCATAGAGGAGATGATCTATGATCGGAACAAGAGGAAAAGTAACTTTAGGGAAGACATTAAGATTCATTATCTCTATAACGTTCTGTGAACACTAAATCCCCAACTACAAGAAAGAATTGGTCCAAAATGGATATAATGCTTTTAATGTGACAACATAAGGACTTAACATTAGTTTAAATTGCTTTTTTAAAATTTCGCACAAAATAATTTCATTTTCAGCGGACGCGGCCACCTGAACTGCAAATGGCCTTGGGACGTATCATATGCGCGCGTATTCGAACAAGTACCAATAAATCAAAAAGTAACAAACTTAGGAACAATCGATTTCGAACATCAAAAACTACTTATCTCAATGCACAAGAAACAATTAAAATTTAAAAAATCAAATTTTCCACGGGAAAACTTGAAAACATTTTGAGATAGATGAGTCCCTTAAGGGTTTTAGAGACCTTTTAATCTCTCTCACAGAAAACCTACTTATGTCAATCTTTAATGGACATTCTTTTTGATTTACAAAGTTGTGTGTGTAAGATACATACACTTTTAGTGTTCAAATAAGTGAACATTATTTTGGTGTTCTTCATTTAAGATTGTTAAGTAAGTTTTCGTTGATATACAATGTTTGTCTCTAAAACCCTAATGGTACCGGTACCTTCTTGATTTATACAATTTTACATTGGAGACCAACTTTGCGTCAAGATCTAACATTAAAAAAAAAACTTGATAGTATAAGATTTAAAAAAAGTTAATTAACAATAGCTGTCTTCATTTTTTTTGTTTTTCATGAAGAATAATCTGATCTCCAAAATGATACAATTGCCATTCACGTAAGATGCACTACGTACTTACTTTTTTAAGATGATTGCTTCAAGTTCTGGTTGAAGACCCAACCCTCCCTAAAACAAATTACAAAATCAATTTCAAATGTAGTGAATGATAATTAAATTACATCAAATATCTAGTATTCTGGATTTGATTATCTTGACAATTCAATTATCGTATGGGAAATGTTTCGTAATGGGTAGAGGAAGAAATTTAGAAACTTCAGAAAACGGGCGTAGATTATACCTTTCCCCCATACGTCACAATACTTTTTTTAAAATGATGAAAATGAATACTTGCATAGATTGAAAAATTGAAAAAAATATAACCTTTTATTTTATTTTTCCTTCGCTCTTTCCATTTATTGAATTCTGGATAGATGTATAATACACACATTTTCTGATCTTTCAATTCGCTAAATGCCAGAAAGGTGGTGTTGGAATTAGTTATTTCGACGTCGTCCAACAAGGACTGTTATATGAAATCTGTAACGTGTTTCTCGATGCAAATAAATTCGGGAGCAAAATGAGTGGCGGTCGCGATTTCGCGATTAGTTTTCATCTAATCACGTTAAGGTTTCATAAAAGTGAGCTCCGATGAACAGAACAATTTTCCAAAGAAAATGACACCCCGGTTGTGGGATTCATACTAAAAACGAACACGGACGTCTGGCACGAATATACGCATCAGAGACGTAATCGCTCTTTGAGAACTCAGGCGGCACTGACGAGCCGAGTAGTCGATAGATTTACATAATCAATATTCAAACCATTTTAAAGCCATTATTTTACACATCATACACTTTTTTTGCGCCCCGGAATCCCTACCGCCATTCATTTACCAACATTAAAAAATTATTGGAAGATAGCAATGAAAACTGCCAACCTCATAACAATACATTTTGCTCCCGAATTTATTTGCATCGAGAAACAAGTTACAGATTCCATGTAACAGACTTTGTCGGACGACGTCGAAATAGCTAACTCCAACACCACCTTTCTGGCATTTAGCGAATTGAAAGATCAGAAAACGTGTGTATTATACAACTATCCAGAATTCAATAAATGGAAGGAGTAAAGGAATTAAACAATTCAAAACAAACGTTTTACTTAATTTCAATACGTACGATTGACACTTTAAAAAGCATAGGCCGTGTTTAAAACTGCATATTTATTGCTTTGATAACAAATCGGTAAGTCATAATTCTTAAAGTAGAGTAGATTTTGCGATAATTTATTTTCACATTCATTGGAATCTTGCTATTCTATTTAAATTTCTTTGATTTATGTGTGCCTTAAAATAATTGTTGAAGTACTACATTGCCTTGATCGTGTTGTAAAGTATCATCGGCACCTCCCCTTACATCCTGTTGCGTAACAATGAGCATCGAAATCGCGGTATTGAATTCAATCACCAGTGTTGCCAGACTTCCACACTCCTGGCGTAATTTTTACGGAACTTTGATGGTGTACTCTAAAGCGATCAATTATTTAATCCCAGTACTATTTCACTCATAACATACTAACTTGCACTTACGAAAGCATTTATAAGCGAATAATGAAATTAAATTGTGAAAGCCCGCTTTTAACTCCTTTTTTGCCTACTCCGTAAGATATTGTAAAACATCCAAAATTTACTACGTAGATCTATTTTGAACAATTCTTCGCCAAGAAAACTACGCAAAGCCCGTTTACCTACTTCGCACGTTCATAGAGATATATTTTACAACTTTTGTTAGATACGTAAAAGTAACATTTACACTCTAATTTATTTTTGAAATTGGTTGCTTCTTTTTTGTAACACGACTTTTAGCCTTTCTTGGACTTCGAGCGTACTTATCTCATCTTCCCTAAGAAATATAATATCGTAAAATGAAACATTTTATTTCTATTTGACAGAAATTTAGCAAGCAACGTCAGCGAGCCATGGTGTAGATAGTCGATGGTAGTTTCTTGTGCTTCAATCAATAATAAACATTTATTTTACAGATTGATCTATTTTATTAAAAATGAATTCATGTTTATTGCATTTAAATTATTTATTATTTATAATTACGTGGTCTAAGAAAACATTGACGCAACTAATGAAATTTTAAATCAATATTTCTAATAATAAAATTACTTCGTATTAATAATTACGATTAAATTAAAAATATTTACTTAATTTATAAAATAGTATTATTACGATCTAAGATGCAAAGAGTATAGTAAGATGTTTTCAAGAGTTAAAAAGTGAGGTAGTGATAGAAAGCATGGGGTTAATTTCGCACGTCTGAATAAAACGTTTACTCTCGTTTATCCATTACCACTTTGAAAATGAAAACAAGAAGTTTACATGAAGTACCTATGTAGTGTTTTACTCAAATGTCCTTTATTGCTTTGAGATTGTTGATAACAAATTAACCCCAGTAGCGTAATGGAATGAGAGCGGGCCCGCTCGGAAAACTTTTATCCAGGCCCCCTTCATGAAAGTGTATAGAAAAATACAAGTAGTGTTAATACCTTAAATAATAAAAATATCCCCTAAAATAGGGCCTTTCACCTGGGCCCGCCCGCATTGAGTTACGCCACTGAATTAATCCATTGCGACGTTTTTAATGTCTTATGCTAGTATTTGTAATTCATCAAAGAATTACAAAACTATTTCTGACTATTTTGCTTCGCGAGTGCGAAAACACCACTTCGACACTTTTTAACCTGAAGCTTTGAAAAGAGATGATTCCAATGTGATCCATTTATACTCGGAAAGTGATCATGTCCTGGGAGCAAGTGCAGAAATAATTTGAGTTATTAGCTACTTACGAAATATTTACAGAGCCAAAGAATTTTGGTGAAATAAACACTGAATTTACTAACGGAACATAATTGTATTAGTACAGGAGACGCGGAAATGTATAATTAATTACTTACGTACACGTCTCGTTTATATTGATTTGTTTAATTGTTCATAATAAAGAGTAAAAGTTTATCAGATAATTTAATCATCTTGGAATGCATGACTTAGGACCGTCAAAGTTGTGATTGTCATAATACACAACAATTTAAGATTGTGAAGGCTGAATGAATAATATTTTCAAATTACAGAGCTGTGTCGAATATGGCATTCATATTTGTCACAATGTTAAAGTCAAAATACATTACGAAATGTGTGAAATTTTAATGAACAGTTACTTCAATAATTGTGCTCAAATAACAATATTAAGTACAATAATCGTCACAGCCACGAAAAATTTGTTTAGGTACACATCTTGTGGAGGTAGGTTTATCGTAATTTACAAGCTACTGATCACATTGAAATTTTCAAAAATGCAGGAAACATGAACCTTAAATATTTCGAGTGATACATAATTTCGTTGTTCATGAAAAGTGTTTTAAATGCACGTGCCTTTTTGAACTGTAATTAACGCCGAAGTATACAGAAAAAAATAGAATAATTTAATCTGAGCATAACCAAGTTTACTCGGAATTAAGTCGGACATTGAGCCTACAAAGGATATGGCAGCAATCTAAATTTCCAAATTCTTTTGACATTTGCCAGCAGGTAATCTTTCTGCAAATTTCTTACATCAATACTCCAATTCACACTCCTTTAATGAATTAAAAAGAAGTTATTCGCGAATATTTGCAGTTTGTCTCGAAAAAATACATACCTTTTCCCCAGTACCGCAGCAGCCGCCCTCCACGCCGAAGAAATGGTCTCGAGAATGTGATCTGCAATAGGGCATGCGCGGAAACCCTGATAGGACTTCCGCCTGACGTCATAACAATGTTGCCCGCCTAAAATATTATAGTCAATTTTATTAGAGTTAATCGAAATAACTTATTGTTTCTAAATATTTTTAATTAATCTGGGGACTCACGTGTAATGACAAAATATTGCCTTCATTATATTTTACTTAACTCTTTTTTTTATTTTACTGAATTACAGATAAAAAGTGAATTGGCGCCAAGAAATCCATCTTGAAATTTTCATGCACTTCGTCGTGGAAAATTAAATACCAACATAGATTTATAACTGAAGTAAAAGTTTGGGTTGTGCTGGAAAAACACGAATTATTATTGATTTCTTTCTAAGATTATGTCAAAAAAGAGCATTTCGTTGCAAAACGTCTAATACCACATTTTTCACTATCACATTATTTTATCCTTTCCTACATTGAATATCTTCAGCATTAATTAGAAATGAAGCTATTTTCAAACTTTTAAATCAATATTTCTTTATTTTCTAACACAATTTATTGTTTTCTGAGGCTGTTTCGGCAAGTATAATCATATCTGAGAAATTGTAAATGCTCGACATTCTGGGAAGAAATAATTTGAGAAAAAAATAGTTAATTTTGTTTTCTCCTGGTTTGTCCCACCGATTAAAATACTATGCACAATTTAAGTGATTTGGAATCTAGATTCGGCGCGATATGCTGTTCGTCTACATCAGATTTCTTGAAATATAATTTAATATTATGTTGAAAGTGTCCGAAAATGAATTATTAGGTGATTTCCAAAAAATCGTAGCAGAGTTACAGTTCAATCAAATTAGTCAAAGAAAGGCCGACTGTCGGTAAAATTCCCACTCATATTTTTTTTTGTTTTCACGCTCATTTCGATGTTACAAATGCCATGAACAATTCTTAAAACACTACTGGTGCCTTACGAGTTTTCAAAGATCAAATGTTTTTCAAAAAAGTTTTGAAAACAACATCACTCGATGAATGCCGTAAAATTATATTAAAACATTAACTAATAGACTGGTTATTTATTTTTCGTAGCTTTAATCCTTAACGAAATATTGCGCAGAGAAAGGGTAACAATGTATATGTTAATTGAAAACAATCTGTGTGAAAACAATCTAAATAAACTGTGACGCAGACATGCTCGTTACAATGCAAATTGTACTCATTTACATATAGTATTATCATGCATTTATAAATGAAAACATTTTATCATTTTGATTTATGAAGTCAAGGAAAGTTTTATATTCACTAATAACTGTTCATAAAAACATTGTTTTAGACAACAAATATGATTTTGTATGTGTTTACCTGTAACTTAAGAGATAGCTAGACTTCGCACAAAATGCGTTTTTGACGTGGGTTACCAAGCTTATCTGTATATTTAGATTTAGATTTATTTAGTCAAAAAACAGTACAAACTGTATGTGACGTATGGGGAAGACAGTCATCGGCGCACATTTTCTTGAGTTTTAAATAAATAAATAAAAATAAATTTTAAAAATGTGCGAGATTAGCAATATTTGAAAAAAATAGACATTTTCGTTCCCGAGTTATAGAAAACGTATTTGCATCGGTAAACGAATTGCACGTATGATTTTTCTGCATTGCTAACCAAATAGTAACTCGCCCTTACCTACTCCTACCATTACAAGCAAAAGGATAATTCAAAAAACGTGTGCATAGTGAAGCTACATTTACGTCCTAATTATCCACCCTAATCAGTATCAATTGTCTTTGTGTATGTTTTGGGCATAAATAATTGCAGTCTCCTAGTGTCTAATGTGAACAACTTATCGGTCTGACATTGATTACCAACATCAGAAGACAGAAATTTCAAGCCACATTCTTCAGTTTAGAGGAAATATTTTTGATTTGAAATTCTTATTTAACAGGTCTGAACTATTAGGAAAGGAGTTTTCAACATAAAAGACACAATGAATATTTTAATCACCTAAGTATTATTGAAACATATACATATATTACTATATGTCTATGTGTTGAAATATGGGTTTTTATCGTAACGAAACTCCATCATGAGATAAACGTGAACGAAATATACGAGATATACGTGAACGAAAGCGAAGGACGATTGTCAGGAACAAGGGCATTGTTTCAATTTATCTATGCAGTAGAACTAACTTATAGCTGTTAATTTGAATTAGGAGTAAATACATAGGGAATAAATTCAATAAAGAGCTCTAATTATGTCGGTTGATTGATATTTCTGAGTACATCAACTGTTCTAGTCATTCGTCAGGGTAGTGTAGTAAATTTTAATTCTCGGTAGATAGCGGTATTCCTTCTATTGGATGGTATGATCAGGCGCTGACCACCATGTCGGTTTGCGGGGAGGAAGTATTCTCCTCCTGGGACCTCCCCTTAGCGAGGCACCGCACCAGTCAGCCGGTTCCAGTGCTTGTGTGTGTGTGTGTATGAAAGGGAAGAAGTCGGGACCAGAGGGAGGAAGAAAAGATAGCAAATTGAAATATTTCGCATAGTTTGTGAGATATGGGCAGTTATTTTTTTTATCTGAAATAATGTAAGAAATTTACGACTAATGGCCTGTTAATTTTTTTCGATTTTTGACAAGAACCAGATTTTTCCCGAAAGCTGTGTCCTAGAACGAAATTTTATGGAGAATACACTGGTGATAATCATTTTTCTATCAGATGCGCAGTTTATCCGAAAATCCCCAAATCGTTCGAAACGATGGTGATTTGTATGAAATATTCAGTGTAAAAGTATCAGAGTTGAACAAATTCATTAAGCCTTAGTGTCTTCGTTTAATGTTCAAATTAAGGAGTATTGTAGATATAATTACGTGTTCAAATCTCTCGGTTGAATCTCTAATAGTTTAGAATCTACGGCGCGTCAAAATTGACAATTTTTCAGGATTTTTGATGTCTCTCAAAATGATGCGGTTTTGATAAACACTTCTAGAGGGCACAGTTTATGTTGGAATTTAACAATTTATGGCATTTTCTGAAAATGATGAAAAAGTAATTATTTGTCATATTCGGATGATAAATGTGGCCTCTAGGTGCATTTCTTTTAATTCCTGTTTTTTCGAGTTTGCGAAAATATGAGAATATTTGTCAACTCCTAAACTAAGAAATCTACAGCTGTGAAATTTGTTCAGCAGATTATATGACGAACGGAATTTATTGTAAATATAACATGAAATTTGTGGTGAAAGAAAAAGTGTTTAAATTGCGATTCCGTAAATTGCAATTTCAATGAAAATTACGTTTGCTGCGTAATTTTCGCGATTTTCGGGAAAATAAAGCTTCTAATGGAAATAAGCGTATCACCAGTTTGTAATCGCCATGAAATTTTGGTCTCGGACACCGGTTTTCAGAAAAATCCGTTTCATGTTAAAGTCGGAAAGTTTCACAGATTGACGAAAACACACACACTTTTTTAAACACTTCTTCACAATTTTTAACACAAACAGGAACAGCCCATATCGCACAAACTGTGCTACATTTGTCATATGTAGACCCACCATTTGCTTGTAAATTTCATATTTTTTCAAAAAACGTCATCATTTGTCATATTCGGGTGATAAATGTGGTCGCTAGCTGCATTTCTTTTAATGCCTGTTTTTTATGAGTTTGCGAAGGTATAGGAATATTTCCAAATTCAATACTCTGTATGTCTTAAAATATTAAAGCTACAGCTATGCAATTTACACAGCAGATTATATGACAGTCAGACTTGCAGGGAATATTCGCCATGAAATTTCATACCAGGACACTGGTTTTCAGGAGAATCGGAATCATGTTGAAAATTGCAAAATTCAACAGGTGGGGGTACGTTGAAACTTTAGGATTTGTGAGACAAAAAAGAACTGCCCATATCGTCTAAACTATGCAACATATAACATATTTAAAGGAACCATTTGCCCGCCTTACAAAGGCTGATTTCTAGCCATTACAAGTGCTTTTTGGATGTTTTGGGTTTCGTCCGCGAAACGGAATAAATTCCCTTAGACTTAATATGGTTAACCACTGGACTTAATATGCTACCACCGCGGAATTGACCCTTAGACTTAATTACGTCTCTCGCTAGTAAGTTTCTGATTATGGATTAGTTCCCGACAAATGGCAACTGGTGGAGCGAAAACTTCGTAATTTCGAAGTTGCATTTTAATAAAAACACCGAGTATTAAAGAGATACGTCTTTTTTTGATACACATTATCTCGATAGAAATCAGACAGCCTTTGCCTCTCCGCCCTTTTTCCTGTGCTTCGCTCCCTCTGTGTGAGTGCCCTGCTGACACTCGCGGGTCGCCCTATGCTGCAATTGATTAACTTAGCCACTTCTAAAATATGTTACGGTTTTGGGGATGACCATTGGTCAGAAGCAGTCTAACTGTGAGCTACATTGTCTGGTCGTTCCAATAGGTTGTAATTGTTTAGCTACTGTTGACGATGGGTGGCCGCGCGGGAGCTGTAGGGAGCCGACGCTCTGTTGGGGAAGACGATAGTACAGCTAGTACCAATGAATTAGCGAGGGGGACATTTGCGAGATAAAGGTAATCAGTTTTTAAGGCAACGCAGGTGTCATGTGAGTGAGACACGGTTTGATGAAGATCGAGTTGCTTCTTTGTTTTGGGGGCGGGAGTCCCGAGGAGGGGTGTCTCCAGACTCCTTGATGCAAGTGAGAGGGTGGCTTTGGAAGAGCGACACTGTCGCCCTTTGTTGAGTTGTTTAGACCTTCGATCCCTTTCAGGTCAGCCGGCAGCTGCGAGTAGCAAATGTGCCGGGTGGATGGGGTGGGGGAGTTCCGGAGCGCGTGGGCTATAGAAATTGCTCACATGAGATGTCGAGACATCTCAATATATGTGATATTGTTGATATGACTTGGAGGGTGCGATTGTGTGTGTGTGTGTGTGTGTGTGTGTGTGTGTGTGTGTGTGTGTGTGTGTGTGTGTGTGTGTGTGGTTTTGAGGTGTTGGGAGGGAGGGTAGACTTGTGTGTATAATATATGTGGCGTATTTTCGCAGAAACGGTTCCAAATGTGTTCTTTAAATTTTCTCCTCCTATACAAAGTACGATAAACGAGTGGTGCTGGTCTCATTTTCGGCACACTCTCTGTATTTTAAAAACTTGAAAAAACGAAATATATTAATTCCCGCTTGAATTTGACGTGCTATCAGATAGCAAAAGATAACAGTTGGGAATTCTTCGAATTTTGCCATTGTTGCCGGTCGTGTTAATCGTACGATGTAGATAACACTCTTAAGAAGTAAATGCAACTTAAAATGTAACTTCAAATTCATTAACTTAAAAAAATTAAACTTCAAATTAACTTCCCCATAGCACATCGCACAGTTTTTAACTATTTTTAACGTAAATGAAAACATTTAATGAAGGTAATAAATTTTACTTAGAACTAACAAGCACACTCCTTTTACTTTAAGAAATTTTGATCGCTGATTATGGCACTAAGAAATTGTTTGCTCACTTTGATCTAATCAAGGAAATCTTTTGTGAAATTATATAGAATTGTAGACTTTCACGGTCGGAGTCAATGTCAGAGAAAGTTTCCGGGCTGATAGGCCGTACTGCGCCCGAGACTCTATCGCCACTGCGGATGTCCACAGTAGTCGTGGACGAAACCTTTGGCCCTAACGCCAACTAGTCCACGGCCTACCAGCTCGGAAACTTTCTCTGATATTGTGTGAAATTATTCATGCTTTTGTGTATAATGTGTCGCATATTCCGTAGAAGTTAATTATATTCTTGTCTATTTCATTTGTAAAAGTAAGAAATTACTACTGTCGCTGACTAAATAATTGCCGATACGCACCACAAGCGCTTTCTTTGAAGAGGTTGAATTTGAGTTTTTCAAAACACAGCTGGGTTAGGAATTGCAAGGTTACAATTTTAAAATTACTGTTTACAATAATGCAAAACTGTATATGCTGTTACAGCATTGCTAGTTTAACCCATTAACTGCCATGGCTCCCAACACAGCTAAGGTCAGAAATTGCAAATATTACAAGACTATTTACAACAATGCGAGAAATGTGCTGTTGTAGCTCCTGTAGTTGAAGTTTTCACTCCCAATAGAAACAGAATTTTTAGGCTTTTAGCTATGATATACATATTATGTGTTGGTTGGTGACAATTCTAAGTTTAGTAATATTGTAAATTTAGCAAGGATATATGCATACAGTGTGATTCCGTTGTCGTTGCCCATGCAGGATCCGGTGATGGAGTACACTTAATACATGAGTGTAAAAAATGGTGTGAACCCTATTAAAAATTTTGAAAACAAAATTGTTGTTGTCATTTATCATATTTCTAGGAAAAAGTAGCGCAAATGTGTCATTAAATAGTTTTACTTGTTGCTATTATTGCCTATTTAACCAACAAATACTAAAGGAGACGGGAACAAATATTAAGTGTTATTTAGAATAGTTCATCATATTTGCTATACAGCCAAAATTTCGCTCTTTAACCTCGTGTAACAGGGGCTCTTCATGTGTTCCATATGGCCATCTTCCGCGAACGCAAGATTGGCATCTGCACCGCAAGGCCTCTGTGACGTGCATAACTTTGTTGGGTTGTACCATTATATCTGCCGCCTTGCTGACAATGCATCGAAGGTCATCAAAATCCTCGACCTCGGTAGCATAAACGCGGTCTTTCATTAATCCCCAGCTCCAAAAGCGTTGGGAGTACCTGAGTTGTGAAATTCAAATATTCCAAAGCTCTTAAATCGCTCTTTATGAGCTTCACTACGTGTAACATGCGGGTTTGCCTCGGCCCTCACATGCAAATTATACACATTAATTTTGCCTTTTCTTGAAAAACAAGCTTCATTTACCAAAGAAAGAAATCCTGTTTTTCTTTGCATTCGCCCAGGAAATGCCTAGAGATTTAAAAACGACGTTATAAGCGTCTACTGAGCAAATGCTGCAACTACTGAAAATAGAGACGTCGCAATCTCTACCCGTGAATTGGGCGCCATACGAGTGACAGTCATGCTTTGACATCGCACGCCATTTCCCTTGCTTGCGATGTGCTTGATTCCGGGGCATCTGGGATAGTATTTGCAATTGGGTTCTCCATAGAAGCAGAGAGTTCTAATGCGAGGTGAAGCCGCTTGCTCACTTGCCGAATCTCGTAATACACGAGCAGAGCACATAGTCCGAAGTTCAACGTTAATTAAAAAAGAAAACGAAATGACGACGAGTATCCAATTTTGGCTCATTCAGTCTGTACTTTATGGTCCCGGCGTATTAGCAACGAGGACTCTTATGTATTGCAAATAAAATTTTATTTTTTAGAGACATATGTGGTAATTTTTTTTAATAATGCTAGTTTATTTCTTCATAAAGCAAAAGAGATGAAAGCTAATTTTTCATTTACATCTCGAGTTACAAGTGTTTAATACAATTGCTTGTACCACTTCATTGCATAAAAATACATGATCAAAATATTGTTTCAGGTATAATGCACCGGAGGCACCAAATGTACCATAAACCAACTGAAGAAAAATGCACAAATTCTGCATAATCGTGATGACTACTGTTTAATAGCCTTCGATGGCTAACTTCATGACAGTTTACTTGAGATTAGTTGATTGGAATAAATTCAATGTGTACATTAATATGACATTGTTTATGTGTACTTGTATACATCATGTTTGTTACTAAACAATTAATTCTTATTTAGAAGATTATATAAACGGCTGAAAAATTGTTACAAATACATACTGTAATTCATCTTGAAAATCAACATCAAGTATGTTTATTTAATGTGGTATAATTACCACTATACCCTTAATACCACACCCTTGAAATGATATGAACACTTTTATCTTCCTATAAAAATATTTTGTGAGCAGGTATAAATTGGTATCTCTCAAAACAATGCCGATGAATGAAGAGGACTGTCGAATCTCCAGGTGACAACAGGTACCACAGTAATTCTATGCTGGCTAGGGCATAGTGATAAGTTATATGCAATCATGCTTGCCGATACTGATACGCAATAGCCGATTTCAGCAAATTTACACCTCGATACTTGAACTACAAATTGTAAAAATTCTTTAAATATCTTTCAAAAAATACATTTAGTGCGAAGCCCTCCTTCTGCTGAAACTTTATTGCTTCCGACGCTTGCAAACTTGGTTTAGAACCAAAGTCTGCATGTCTGATCACTAACGGTTATTCACCACACCTTGCATTCTCCAATCGATTTGGTTGAAGTTGAAGCCCATCGAATTTGAAACGGTATTTTAATTTTATGGTATACTTTACATGCTTTTCACACATTGCCAACAAGTTTTGTGACTGTAACACGGATAACACTTCAGCAATCGGTGATACATTGGCATTACACAGTCCCAACGTGACACGTAGTTTATGTGATGTTCTGCTTGTTCTACTTTTTCCTCTACAAATATGTGCACTCTTTATTTCGGCAAAATAAATGCCTTTTTAATCGCCTTTTTTATTAAAACTAAATGTTTTCGCCTACTCCCAAGGTAAAAGAAATGACAGAACTTGCGGGCACTTTACATATGTTGACACATTCTAGATACGCTTGTGCGAAATACTCTTATTTTTACGTAGAGAGCAGCTTTGAATCTTGAAGTCGTATTCTTCAACCGTGCCTATAAACGTTATAACATAAAAGTAATATAAGTTATTGAGAATCATAAACTCCTTCGTGATCTGCTGTAGCACAGTGTCTAAGTTTCTGCCTTGAGTGCAGAAGCATGCGGGTTCGAATCGTAGAAGGAAACGGAAGTTGCATTTTTACCATGTGAACATTTGTCTAACAGCTTGTTGACTTCATATGGAAGATTTACTAGCGTTGCCTTCGTGCCCTGGTGGCGCATGGCTAGCATTGAGACCTAACAAAGCGGAGGATTCGGGTTCGAGGCTGGCCCGTGCTCCGGGACGCCTCCGCCCAGCCCGCCCCCGTCTGCTCTGCTTTGGGAGGTCCCAGTGTGATGCCATGTGTAGGGCATTTTAAAGAATTTTCCATAATATTCAGCATAACTTTTTGCAAAACGCCCCCCGATGGGACCTCATGCTATTGCTTTTCGAAGAAGATTCAGACGCGCGCCGACTCCCGGCGGAGGAGACCCTGTCCGAGCGATTCCCGGTGGAAAGGCCCCGTAATGTAACTTATAAGTTTTAAATAGTACTTATAACATTACGAGACTTTTCCGAGAGCAACGTAACGAAACTTGTAATAATTCTATTACGTTAAATTTCGTTACGAGGCTCCACGGGAATCTCTCGAAAAGGGCGGGATTCGAACCCGCGACCTCCTCTTCCGCAAGCGGCAATGCATGCACGGCCCCATCGTGACACGCGCCGAACCTTCCTTATCTTACTGGTCTTTAGTTATTCTTCGAATCTGTAGAATAAACTACGGAAAAAACCAAACAACACTGGCAAGGATCGAACACGGGAACTCCGAACACAACATAAAACACTTGACCACTGAACTACGACGCCACCTGTAGATCTTTTTGTTTTAACTACTACTTATGTTACTGCTTTTTGGTTACCCTTATAACGAAAAGGATTACACATTCCTTCTCTCAACCGCTCTCAACTTTTTCTTCTTCTTCTTCGTACATATAGTTTATACTACAGAAAAAACCAAACGACACTAGGACGCATCGAACCTCCCATCTCCACACTCAAGTCGACACTTTGACATTGAGCTCCGGCTTACGGTAGATTTGAGCCGGCCACCAAGTCACTTTATACTCATCCATATTTCGTGATTTTTTTCTTTCAATGAAAGATAGTGGGTCCTAGATGTGTTACCTCATTCTCCTATTTGCAGGTTTTTAGTTAAAACACAAAATTAAATATAAATATATTAAAATTAAAGGAATTAACGCTCATCTGCCGTCATTTGTTCATTACGTAATTTTCAAGATCAAATAGGATCCCAATGTTTCAACAAAACGTTAACGTTAGATAAAAAATGTCTGCTTTGTAAACTAATTTGTTTGTTTGGATACTAAAATCTGCTCTTCTTAGTTAAAAAAACAAGTTTCTTCTTGTTTTAAAATGAATTTGATATTATTATTAAAATAATTAAATGTAGTTAAGTAAGAGTCAATCTGATGGTCTGGGACTACTAAAAGCGTGTCTTCATATGTAATTTATAACAAACTATGTTCTTATGCATTTCCGTTTGTAATTTACGAAGAAAAATTTCAGCTAAACGCGAATTCAAGGGTTTTCCTATAGGGGCATGTCGTCTGTTCATAAGTTTGCTAGTGAAACACTTGTGTTGCTAGCTTACATGACTGACGTGCTGTGGCTGTTCTCCAATATTTAACTAAGTTTCTTTACATTTATGCATATTTCAGGAACCTGTTTTGTTAAACTGTTTTCATTAGTTGTTACACATAGAGCGGAAGATTTTGTGATGTTCAACTGAAAATTATTTACAAATGCCTTCGAAAAAACATTTTATTTCGAAATATCCTACTGGGATTAGGAATCGATTTAACCTTTTATTGTAGATCGGGTGGTTAAACTATTAGCTCGATATGCTCAAAATTTAGAAAACGTAAAAATATCCTCCATATTAATGACTATCCTTCACAGTTTATTGATAAAATGGTGAAATTTAGCACGCTGAGTAAAAAAAAATCATAGTAGTTCTGATTTTGAACAGTAAGATAGGAGTGAAGAAATTGGTGACATTTTTCTTTACCTTGTTTTTCAAGACTGTTAATTTCAAGGTAAAATCAGGGTTAAAAACTAAATTAAACGAATACGTATTCATCAGGGTAGGCAGTGCCTACCTCGCCTATCTCTGAGGAGCCGCCACTGCCTCCATCCTTTCCTCTGCAAACAATAGCTGGTCTGAGGCATGTAGAAGGATTCTTCTCGTCTCGATCCACCACCCACTCCATCACACACACCATAGCAAATTAATGCCACCTGTAAATCTGCCGCACTCAGTCTGACCAGGGAAGAGCGCAGACACTCGCCACAGAGTAGCAGATAAAGAGATGTAGCAGCTGGGACGATAGACTTTCTATTATTTTGAACCATACATTTTGGGAAGTGTTATTTTTTTCTTTAATTTTGTTCATAGAAATTGAACTATGATTTTACAATTAGTTTAGGGTCGTTTTGTGATGCTTAGCATCTAATGTGTTTGTTATTACAAAGAAAGAACATTAATGAAGTGAAATGTGATGTTCTAGACTGATACAGATTAATTTGTCTTCGAAACGTTGTGATTTCGCAAACTTCATAAAATATTATTTGCTGTCATATGTTCCATATCTGATTCCTGAATGTCTTCGTCAAAAATGGCCAAAAAGATAACTATATTATTTGAGTGACGGACTATAAAGTTTAATACTTGTAATCTTTCTTAAGTTGTTCGGCAAACCGTATGATTGAGGTGGACAATACAGTGTTTAATGGGTGACTTTAAGGAATACTGTAGCAAATAAAGACATGTTTACAGTAGTCGACTAAGACTTGTACCTAACGATATTCAATGTCAATAATGCGTTGGACAGACACAATTTTCGAAATTAATAAGTTTTTGTCTCTCCAGTAAAACTTGCATTTGGTGGATTAGAAACGGAACAAGTGAAATAAAATTTCTTAAAAAAACTTATATTTGAAATGGGATTTAACTGAGATTCAGTCACTCAAGAAAATTATGTCTCTTATACCATCACAATCAAGTACTAACCTTTTCCCCTTCTTTTATAAAAATAACAACTTAAATTCCTACATAAAGAACAATTTGTTTCCTTTTTAGTAGAAATAGACAAACAAACAATTTATCAAGTATAGAAGACCTTGGCCAATGATTATTAGTCCGTATTCTGTTACGTAATTACATTTTTTGTCTTTGTTCAACTCTCAAAAGGGTGATCTTAGCAAATCTCAACACAATATTCAATTTTTAAAACATATTTTGTACTATATCACAAATTTTCTTATATGACACGTAAATCTATAGTTTCTGTCCGTGATTTTCGAATTTTTAGCATTTCAATACATCAACTTGCTTATTCGATTATTAAAAGGAATGCACGTCAAATCAATTGTCTGTACGAAGTGATTTAACCAAAAAACTACTTAACATGAAATTTTAAAACAGGGTAGACACTCCTCATGGGACCAACTTAGTTTTCATTTTACCGTGATATCCTTAACGGGTCCCAAGATACGATTTTTTATGATCTCCCCCCGCAGTATTGGGCTTCGTACCCGTGTTACATAAAAATAATTGCGTATGTTTGTACTTGTATACGCTACAAAAACTTCAGAACGTATTAAGTGATTGCTCCCAAATTTGGCACTAATACTTTTGAAGGACCAAGAACGAAAAATATCGTTGGTGCATTTTCAAAACCTGTTACCCCCAAATATTTTTTGGTATTCAGTTCAATGCATTCCCCAATCCATCTGGCCTTCTTTGTTGTTGGACGTTGCCGAGCAGGACCGGAAGGAGCGGGAAGAGTGGTGCGGGCAGGACAGACGTGGCGTTAAACAAGAGGAACATGTAGAGCGGAATAGACTGCATGTAAGGACCGGGAGTTGTAAGCAGGGCGGCCATGGGAGGCCGAGCCAGGGCCGAGCGCATGCGGAGGATATGGACGAAGCTTTATGAGCGGGAGGGTGGGAGGTGCAGGAATTGTAGGCAGGGCATCCTGAGCTCTCCGGATTGGGCGTGCAGGGCGGGAGAGGCGACGTAATAGACGATTATGAGGAATAAATACTTGGGCAACGCCGGGTAATGAGCTAGTGTTACTTATTGTGCTAAATTTTTAATTATTATATCAATTTTCTTAAAACTTATTTCACAAAAGTAATGTTTAAAAAAGTTTTCAAAAATCAGCATACTTTTTCTTACACAAATTCAGAATTGAAGGGCCCAGAAACGCAAGGGGCTATCCCACATTGACATAGTTCTGAGATAATTAGGGAACTCTTATAACTCAATACATTTTAAAACTTTTAAACGTAGTACTCTTGCATATACGTACATACTGGATTTAAATAACAAATTACACTAAAAGAATAATATTTGATGTTTTGCATAAAGCTAATAATTGAATTTTACATAAAAATGTGGGATAGGTAGCCCCTTGTTCTTTTGAGGCCTTCCATTACTTGCTGATAATGTAAGGTGCCCCCTGTGAAGAAGTGGTCACATGCACATGGTCTGTATAGGTTCAAATTTGTTTGCACTGTATGTATGAGGTGACAAATGCTCATGTGCACTGAGAATATTGCCTTTGGGTGTGGAAAGTATCAGTGAAGAGTTTCTTTATCTTTAAACCAAATTTCCAAGAAATATTGGTTGTTGCAGACATGAAGCACTAAAAATATGTATTAAGAGTCATCCATAAATTATGTAATGCTGATGAGGGGGTAGTGTTACATAGGGGCAGGGGGGTCATAGTTAAGTGTTATGTGATGCTGATTTTTTAAACCTTTCAACATTTGCTGAAATAATTCCTTTTATTCGATCTTATACTAAAACAATTTCATATTAACCAATGTATTTAAAAATATATTAAATAAAAGAAGTTATATTCTATATATTGTTACAATGAAAATATTTTTCATTAATACTATATTGTTTGCATCTTTTAGATTACGAAGAAAATATCTACAACTAATCTATAGTATATTCTAGAATCCAATTTGTTGGCGCAGTAGGCTTGGAGACTATGCGTCACCCACAACGGCACATGCTTATCAGAAATTTTCTGGCCTATGCGCCCTACTTTCGTTAAAAAATTGTCCCCTAACTTCTTATGTGCAGCCCGGACCGTCAACTAATTCTCGCATTAATTATAATACATTTAATGTATAACACAAATACTATTAATACAACTCGTTTCTGCTTTTTAATTGAGTTTAACTTATTGAAATGGGAGAGGGTGGGGGGTATTACAAGAGTTACATAATTATTAGAGGGGGTTCAAGCATGTGTTACAGGTACTTACATAGAGAGAGGAGGTATTACAAGTACTCCAAATTTATGATACGTACTTTATGGACAGCCCCTTATAGTAATTGTTTGGCAGACTTCAAGTTTCCACAATTATATGATGGCTATCATTGCACTAAAAAAATAAAAATATACTGTTAAATAAATCTAGCAGGCCAAGCAATACTAAAGTTCGTTTAAGAAGTGATTTACTATTTTAATTTCAAATCATGTAAATTGTGTAAATGATCTACAGATAAGACATACTATATCCTTTTTATATGTCAAAAGAACCCTGGTGTTCCATACTAATTGGGGGTGTGGTCTGTTCAGATGTTCCAATTATCCAAAAAAATGTACAGTACACATAAAAATACACCTATAGGATTACCAAACACAATGCAACGTACCATGCGATGTGAGAAAATGGCAATGTAGCGTAGCATCATCAAGCAGAAAAAGTTCCTTACGGCAAAAGAAGATTACTGATTTTGCAGGTTTCTCTAAGTGAAAATTACAGCTAAGTGACCATGTGATATACACCGTAGTTACCAGTGCAATGAAAATTTCAATTTGATACTTGTTTTAATAATTCATTGTTCATTTCTACAATAATTATCAAATCATTTCTTAACACTTCAAGTAAGCATTTTATTTATTTCATTTATATTCTCTCTATCCCGCATTTTGTTCGGTTTATATGAAATTTCAGATCTGCAGGGTTCTACTGCATATGCACCCCCTTCCCACTACATATTCATATCATATTTTGGAGTTTCATTCTACATATTATTTTAGACTCTTTATGATTATCATTCTTACCAGGAGAGATAGTTGTTTCAATCAGTGCACTCACATTCTTCCTTTAAGAATTTATTTCCATAACTTATACAATCAATGCAGTCACTGGTTTTGTGTTCATGATTACATATAAACATATAAAATAATACCACATTGAATCTTTCATATAATGTTGAGTATGCAGTCACTATTTGTTAAATGCAACAAATATTTATGTACATACAAGCAGTACAAAATAGCAATGATATTACATTATGTACACGTGATTTTATATTTATAATATAAGCAATAGGTTTATTACATATAAATTTATTTTCACAGATGGTTGCTGTGGCATCTAAATATATACTCTGGTCACGGCTATATTCACAAATGATATAACATTCTGTAAATTTAATATCAAGAGGCTCTTATGGGTTTTAAATTCTTCTCTCTATGAACAATTGCCAGTGTTTCACTGTCATCTATCACTGCTTTCGACATGTGCAATCTCATTTCTTTCAAGGACATTTACTACTCATCACAAATGATGAAATGAGTTATGTCAATACAAGCACAATTTAATAAATGCACATTTTCACAGCCTAGATTTCCCAGACGAATGTGGCATTAATCAGTCTTCACATGCAGTATACAATGTTAGATGTTTTTATTCAGTATCATTTTTTTTCCAATTATCAATCATAAAGCAAAAAATGTTTAGAATAGTTTCTGCCGCAGAAGAATAGTAATTTGTAATTGTATTCATACGTATACAGTTAGCCTCATATGAAAAACCAGCTACATTTAGCAACTGCCACAGAAGTTTCTTGAGCCACTTTCAAAAATACATTTCTTGACATTAAGAGCTCTTTGCCCTTGATTCTAGTTTATATTTGGATTTTCCACCACTTCAATTTTATTTAATAGGTAACACTGGCATACAGGTAACACAGGTGTGGTAGTTGGCCTGTTCAAATTTTTTACTTCTATTTATAATAGTTTTACACAGAGATACAAAAACATCTTTCCTGAAAACAGAAATTAATCTGTAGCTAAGAATAATTACCCTGTGATATTTAATAAAATAATTTTGCCTTTTAATGAAGGATTTTATATAAGACTTACTAGTGCTTACAGTAATTTTATTAGGTGATCGACTCTTTCCCAGATGGATTCAAATCCCTTTAGGCATATAGAAAAGTGCTCTTACCTCTATATACACAAAACTGACATCTGAATAGAACTTCACTTTTGTACTATGAAGATCCCTTATTTGTTTAAAAAGTGAATAACAGTAATTCAAAAAATGGGAAGGATTTAGAACATTATGCACCTAGCACAGTTTTCCAGATGTCAAACACTTCTTACTTGTAACAAATTTGACAATTAAATTATAATACATTTTCAACAAAATGAATAAACTTCTAAACACTGAATCACTAGGCTATGATTAATGCTTGACAAAACAAAATTAAGTTTAGTTGAGCTTGTTCCCTTGTTTGGTCACATGCTTCAAAATTTTGACTTTTACAAAAGCGGTAACTTTTTTGTTTTTCCTCTTTAATTTTAGGAGCATTTGAAAAACTTTTACTGGATCATTCATTTGTTTCCACCAGTGAATGACAGATTTGTATATTGAGAGCATGATCTCTCAGCAGTATTTTCAGTACGCCTAAAAATCTCAAGAGTACCTCTTCAGTGATTTAAAACAACTGATAGCATGAGTAAAGTCTTGTCTGATGGATCAGTTGAGAAGATAACTTTCATTAGCAATGTTTCAAGATGTCCGATATTTTAGGAATTCTGTGCTTTGCCTCAGAACTATATATTCCCAAAACCAATTATAAAATTTCAGAGGTTCCCTTGTCGCTTAATACGGGTGCAAGAATTTGTTAATTCTTATATAAATTAAAATGCTCTTATGAATCCAAAAAATTTCATCATTGTGGTGGATGATACAGAGAAATTCCATTGTTTCCGTTGGGGTGTGTGTGTGTGTGTAAATGTAGACAAATGTATGAAATATATGTGAATGAATGCTTGCTTTCATATACTTCAACCAGCACCTGAATATAAAATTACAATATGATGCCTAGCCATACTGAGAAAAGAAGACATACTTCTTATTTTTCAAATTCATTTCAGTTCAGATACTCAGTCTCTCTCAAGATGGAACATGAATACTTAAAGAGGTCTCCAATCAAATTATGCCAAGTACTTTTCAAAGCTGCTAATTCAACGTATTCTAAAATTATTTTGGACAAAGATAAAATGTAAAATGTTGAAATTTTGAGAAAAATTGGGTTGTTCTATTACCTCAACATTTCAAGAAGGAAGTTTTGGTATGAAAAAATGGATCCCTTTTTTATTATTATTTTTGTTTTTGTTTATAGCACAAAGATAAATGCTGTTGTAGAGAAATGTACTGCTGTCATTGTAGTAAAGGCATTTCCCCTGCAAAGCTAAAATAAAGTTCAAATGGTGGCAGTGTGAGATGACAATTCAAATAAAGATATCTGAGGGTAATGCAGATACGTATCTGAGGATTTTGGATTTTTGGGAATCTCACTATTTTCCTTTGAAGCACACCTTGTACCCATATTTGTTAAGAAGTTCTTACATAGCTGCAACTGACATAACTATGTAGTTACATTTGAAATCTTTCCACATTTATTTAATTTTGCCTCAATGAAAAGAAGAAAAATAATGAAAAGTAGTGAAAAATGCTAAAAGTTCTAGAAAATAGAACCATCAATATTCACTAATTCATGTGAATTACGTATATTAGCAAATAGTCATCAAGGAGCCAGAAAATGGAAGCAACATTAACGAAACCACTGTCATAAATTTCTTGCAATTAGATAATCTACTTACAAAACGTTTCTTTGCCATATGCCATGAGATAGATTCTTTTCCCTATAAATGGGTCTGAGTGGTGCTATTTAAATGATATTCAGGATACATTTCCATGTTAAATACACAATCAGCAAAAAGAGATGGTATCATGATGTTTTTAGCTTTAAAAAAAAAAAAAAGAAAAAGAAAAAACCAGCTGTTGTGTGCAATGGAACTAACAAGAGCCCAAGAAAAATTAAAAATTCTATTCCTATTCCTACTAGGCACTGAGATCATACCATCAAGTTCAGAAGACAGAACACTATTTCCAACTACGTAGAAGAGATGATAAAATACTCTTTAAAAAAAAACACCACCACATCAACAGTGCTTTCTTATACTTTCATCAGTAACACTGAGCTATGATGGGAATTACATTGCTTATTCATTCAAGTGCATGTTTCATCATATATCAGTTAACCTTAATGACCACAATAAAAACATAAAATGCTTAGTCAGGGATCTCCTAATTTAAAGAAAATTTAATAATTTAAAAAATTCTTCAACAAAAATGTTTGTATATATAAAAAAAAAAAAATGATATCTTCCTCTGTTACATGATGGACACTTTGGTACTACACATAAGAAGTTCTTGAATTTGAATTTCTCAATCAAACCTACAATAAAACAAATGAAAATAAATACTTTATTTACAGATTCTTATTTCCATCATTAAAAATTTAGTTTATATTCATGATAAATATTTAATAAAACATTTTAATTATTTTCTCTACATTTTCATATTTTACGAAATACCTTCATGTGTTTTAAAATGTTTTGAGATCCTCCTCAACAAACACTAGCTGCCCTACATTATCATCCCTCAACCTTTATTATTTTCTTTATATAACCTTTACCTTACAGCATCTGATCTCACATCATAGACAAAAACTGTGTATTGTAAAAGCATGTGCTCAACAATGAAGAACTAAATAATTTACCCTGTGCAATATCTATCATGTGCAAATCAGAACCAAAAACTTTAAAAAACATCACTGCTGCCTCAATACCCAAACATTATCTGAAGGGCTTCACATCAATCTGCAGCCACCTACTTGCTTATATTTGGTGTGCAGTCAAGCAATACAATTGAAGGAACATCCTACATTTTCTCTCTACACATGTAAACATTTAATGTGCAAATATAAATGCTGGAAAGAGTGACATTACACTGTAATCTGTAGGTTTCTGGGGATTATGCTAATTACTGTCATAAAATTATCATTTATGAACATACACCTGGTGCATTGATGCATGTTGGTACAGGAACAGGCACGCCATGAACCCTTTGCCTGTGCCGATGTAAAATACTTCCTCTAGCAAAAGCTTTATCACATTCTTCACACTGGTAGGGCTTGTCCCCAGTGTGAATTCTTTTGTGCATTGTCAGATGACTAGAAACTTTAAATTCAGTCCCACATATTTCACATCGATAAGGTCTTTCCCCAGTGTGAACCCGTGAATGTCTCTTCAATTTACTGGATTCAATGAAAGCTTCACCACATACATCACATCTGTAAGGTCGTTCACCAGTATGAGTACGCTCATGCCTCTTTAATAGCCAAGTGTCTCCAAATACAGCAGAACAAGTCTGACACTTGTAGGGTTTCTCTCCTCTGTGAATTCGCCTATGCCTTTCCAGATTATATGCAGACGAAAAGGCCTTGTGGCATAATTCGCAAGAGAGAAGCAGGACTGGAAAGTGACGGGTGGAATCACTGATTGCCCCAGGTATGGAAGGCACACCATGTTGTTTCCGTCTGTGTCGATGCAACACACTACAACTGATGAAGCTAAGACTACACTCAGTGCATTGGTAGGGGCGTTCTCCTGTGTGAATTCGACGGTGAGTCTTGAGATGACTAGATACCCTGAAGTCCATTCCACATACTTCACAACGGTAGGGTCGTTCACCTGAATGAATACGTTCATGTCTTTTCAATTTTCCTGACTCCGTGAAGGATTCGCCACAAAGATTGCAACGATATGGTCTTTCACCAGTGTGAATTCGCTCATGCCTCTGTAAATGCCATGGGTCCGCAAATGCCGCTCCACAGGTTTGACATTCACAATGTCGTTCACCACTATGAGTTCGGCGATGTCTTTCAAGATTGTATGCAGAGGAGAAAGCTTTGTAACACTGTTCACAACTGAAGCGCATTTGCCCAACATGTAAATCTGGATTCTGTTGAGGATTTGCACCAATATTTAGAGTACTTGATGAATCAAGGTGATTTCTGTATGCTGGAGCACGACGTTGACGACAATGAGTGGAGTGTGACTTAAGATAAACTGCACTTGCAAATGACAGCCCGCAATCCGTACATGGAAAAGCTGCCCGTTCTTGAAGTGCTGCACATAGATACATATACACTGACATGTAAGTTTATCAACATATCAGATTTTATCAAAAATAAAAATATTGGTACATAATTAATACTCAATACAACTGGATTCAATAAAATGAAGAAATAGGAAACAGAAATTACTTGACAACTTAATTATTGAAAAAAGGAAAGAATCGCTCAAAAGTAATCTATAGGGGAATGTGACAAGACTGCTGAAAATTGAAAAGGATACAGATATGTATAATAAAAATATATTTTTATAAAGTATTAGGACGTATCTTAAGTTTAAGTCCAATAATGATTCAAAGCAATTTACATGCCGAAAGCTAAAATGTTGGTCCTTTACTAAGCTTTAGAATACTTAACAAATCAAATGTAATTTCTGTTCCCTAGAGCACAACCAGCCATATCAGGCTTGAGGTTATCGAGTGTGTTAGTAATAATTGTGACGAAGTAAAAAATACAAAACATGGACGGAGAAGAACTGGTTGTGTATGTAGCATCATCATAAGTGACTAGTGCAATGTATAATTTCAGTAACATATCTGGAAAATTAAGAGGAAAGAAATGAGTTTCGGCAAAGACTCGATAAAGCTACAAAACATCAGCCTTTAGAACTGTAAATTATTCTGAATCACAATTGGACATAAAATAAAAATATATCCAAATACATAGTGTGTAAGGAGGTCAAGAAAAACTAACTTTCATACATTCATGACATCCAGAAAAATATGTAAAATTAAAAACAATTAAATATTCAAGCCTTAAATTGAAGGCTACAAAAATAAGAATTCTCAAATCTGAGAGGAAGCTAATGGGCTTTTTCAGCCCCTACGATTTCCACCATAATCCTTGAATAATTCACAACAAAACATTGAACGAAAAAAAGCAAATGGTTTTTATTTCTTTCTTTAAAACTTATGAAAAAGTTTTCCACCTCAATTATTACCATAATTATTATCATATATTTTTATTTCATCTAGTAAAACAATACGACTGGCTTTATACAACTCTTTGATGTACTACAATAAAGACTTATGCTCCTTACAATTATAATTTGGTTTGTTAGTAATTTGCTTTTTTACTGAATTTATTACAAAATAAAAGACAATTAATTTGATGGGATATGAATCTTTTATTAATACAGAAGGTTTGATTCTATAGAGTATGTTAAATGAAATTTCTGATCACGTAAAAAATTATTTAATTGATTACTTAATTTAACAACCATAAAATTAAAGAAATGCTACTTATGATCTCCTTTTTACTTCTTTGATGATGCCATTAGGCAAGTGGGGTCCAACCGACCCAAGAGTGGAATTATCCATAAAGAATTCCTTTTTTGGACACGCATAACAAAACAGATCATAATAATTTAATTGTTTGATAAACAACAAATTTTTTACTTCTAATTTTTAAAAATATTTATTTTTATTCCAAGAATTCACAGAAAATGAAATGATCAAAATCGTTGTCTTGTACATGAGTAGGCATGAATAAGTTGGTTCTGACAATCTACTCCATGGTTTTTTGACTTCTGACCAGACCTAGTCTGCCAAAACAATAACTATTCATTGAAATGCACCATTCTGAGAATCATATTATTGGGCATAGTGTCAGATAACTATTTAATGAAAGGATGCTGATGGCTGGAGTTGATATATGAATTATTCTTGTTCATGGAACACTCCCAAAAATTGTCAAAACAAAAGCACAAAATGAAATATTAATTGCAGTCTACGAAATCCAAATCAGTAAGACCCCACTTGCCCAGTAATCGCAAAAAGAAAAAAGAAGGAAGAAGAGGGAGGAGTGAGAAGGAAGAAGAGGGAGGAGTGAGAAGGAAGAAGAGGGAGGAGTGAGAAGGAAGAAGAGGGAGGAGGACGAAGGAAGAAGAGGGAGGAGGACGAAGGAAGAAGAGGGAGGAGGACGAAGGAAGAAGAGGGAGGGAAAAAAATATACAAATAGCTTTTGCAGTTTATGTGTAAAATATTGGAAATAACACTTTTGGGTCAATTTGCCTTGGGTGCCAAGATAATGTTCAATATATGAGTAAAAATTCGTGAAGTGCTTTCAATTTTACATAAGTTAATGAATTAAATCCAAATTACACAGTTTTGTAGTATTTAGTGTTACAATTATTTATGCCCCCATAATATTTTAGACCAATTACCATTTAAACAAAAGTTATAAACAATTGAATTTTTTCGCATCATTATATTAAAAAAATAACTGTCTATTTGTCCATCGTAATTACTTCAAAATAGTTGTGAATGTGCAGAAATGACTTTTTCGCGCATTTGCTTGATTGTCTAAGATGGGGGAAGACTTATCAAAACCTGAATTTTGTCTGTATGTTAATTCCTTTTGGATAAAGCAAGTTTTATACCATTTATGAACTTAGGGTCCATGTCATTTTCAGTTTCCGATAGTTTTTCAGCACCTAACACATTATTTATTGTTAAAGTTAAATTTGACCTATCCTTTTCACAAAATTGAGACAATCATTTTTTCTTAATAATGGGTTCATCAAGTCCTTTTAGAATTATATTAATTTTTTCTGTGTTTAAGACATCGTCAACATCAGCACATTGAAAAGTAGGATCGGAAATCAGGTCATCATCAGAAGATTCGTTTAATTCACGATCATTTGTGCAGTTGATTATTTCTTCTGATCATTTGTACTACTTTTAAATGTTTCTTCTGTACAATTGTACATTGATATGCGACAGACATTACACATATATAATACAATAAATGACTTAAATATTACATTCCGCTTGACAGTAACAAAGTAAACATTTGTCACAACCTTTTTATGTTTCTCTTTTTGTAACGGAACTATTAGCTCGATCCATCACGAAAATTATTAACAAGACAGTAAATATTATAAACAAGACACTAAACATTTTTATATTAGCTGTTTAAATAATTCGCTTGCAAAACTATACAGAGGACACATAAGACTTGCTTATAAACATGTAAACAAAACAAAATCGCATTATTCAGTGCGCACTTTAAATTTAACCACGGCAAAAATTTTAAATACTGATAATCAATGTTTACCCTCATTGTTTACATGAACAGTATCAATATCAAATAAACCACTGTAGTAATACAAATGCATTCACTGTATTTAAAAAATAGTTAAGGAAAAAAGAAATAATACATTTCCTTTGTTAAAATTTATTAGAATATTCCGAAGAAATTTTTATATAATTTTTTAAATTTTGTATTTAAAAAACAAATTTAAAATCGATTTTAAACTTTTTGTGCCATGCGCTCGAGCGTGTCGTGCAGAATCTGACTGAAAGCGCTGTCATTTCTCATCAAACTTCGATAACAAAGAGTTTGTTTCTGATTAATATAGAATAAAGCATAATGAATATTGTTAAAAAAGAACAGTGACTCTATCTTAGGGAGAACATAACAAAAAATATATTCATAATAAATAAATATTTTTAATAACAAATTAAACGTTGAATTATAAATTTTATCATCATGCATAAAAACATTAATTTCTACACATTCACAGCTATTTTGAATTAATTATGATGGACAAATAGACAGTTATTATTTTTTTAATATAATGATGCAAAAGAATCCAATTGTTTATAACTTTAGTTTAAATGGTAATTGATCTAAAATATTATAGGGGCATATTTGTATCACTAAATGCTACGAAACTGTGTAATTTGGATTTAATCCATTAACTTATGTAAAATCGAAAGCATACTTCATGAATTTTTACTCATATACATTAATATAATATTAAACCACAAAACTGATGGGGAAAAATTAAATTGTATCTGTAATAATTTGATCAACCTACATGTGTAAAACAATGTATAATATAAGTTTCAACTGATTTTTGTAATAATATATCTCTCTATATAATAGGCTTGCCAAAAAGTATTTTTGTTCATCAGATTTATGTTGGTAACAATGTATCCTTAAAATGTTTTTTGGATAAAATGATGTTGTAAGTGCTCTGTTTTTTACTTTATTTGTATTGCGTTTTATGAATTAGATTTTTTCAGCTGGACCATATAAAAAAATTACAATAAACTGAGTTTATTAATAGTAAAGGTAATGTGTGCATATAATTGGTTATCTATAGGTAACTTTTAAATTTCAAAATTTTATTATTTTAATGTTTATTTAAAAACTCATTGTACATTTCAATGTACAATTTCCACCTAGTATTTTAATGTACATTATATATGATTGATGTTCCCATGAGAGCTACCAAGGAGTTGAGAAATATGAAGCCAAAACATTGACATTTAGATGAACAAATTTTTTTTTATTGAACTAAACTCTAGAACCTTCCTATCAATAAAAGAAAAGAATGTATGGGGTTTGTATCTTAAAAAGTAAGAAAAAAATGATTATATAATGCCTATTGAAGGTTTAGAAGATAACAGAATCATCTGAAAAATTAAAACTCTCAACCAATTCATAAAATAATAGTGTAACTACTTTACTAACCATTTGTTCCATTTTCATTTCTGTTGCGCCTAGAAAGAGCATTTCGAGATCTAGATTCCTGAAAACCACTTGCAGCAATCAGCCGTGGCCCATTTGCTCTGTCTACCATATGCCTGGTACCAACCTCTGTTTTATCAGAGCCTACAGCACCTAGGACCTGAATAGACAAGGGGAAGAAAGCCTCTTAAGTATATAAACTCGCTACAGAAAACAAGATTCATGAAATAATTCTTTCTTTGAGTTTTTATAGCTACAGAAAATGAGTGTTTACATTTTCAATTTTAAAGGAAAACGTTTACTGATATGCAACAAATCATATATAATGGAATATGATTTTTTGTACAAAATGAATAAGTAGAAACTCGATAATCATGGAGAATAAAAATTCATACTTGACTAAACATTTTGCCATTCTTCGAGAAAATTATTTGGAAGCTCTGGGCAAACTGCTACACATAATTTGTAATACCTTTTCAAGGATATTATTAAAAACATTACTTAAGACAGCCAAATGCAAAATAAAAGTCACAAAACTATAAAAATAAAGTATTCTGGAAATCAAATATGAATAAATTGAAAAATATAGTCATTTAAAAAGGTCATTAGATTTTATCAGGTAGTGTGCAAAGCAAGATTCAAAATGCTGAAACTTTCCTCAGAAAATGCATGTTACACCTACATTTAACTACAGTTTACCATAATGTCTAGAAGCAGTCTCAATGAGATCATTCCACACTTCCTCTCTCACTCAAAAAGATGGTGGAAAAATTTAATCTTATTTGCAACACACTGATTCTTTGAAACTTCCAACTGCTAATTTATGTATTTGCAACATTCAACATTTGTGACTCCTGCCCTGTATTACTAAATATCATTATTGATATGTGCACAGACTTTCAATAATTTATCCAAATTCTCAAGAAGATTTATTGGATCTACTCATTGACTTTATCCATCTATTTTTTTTTACCACGAAACAAGAAAGTTTACCTGTACTTCTCCTACAGCCCTCTCTTCCATAATGACATGCAACCAGGAATCAAAAGGCACAGGACTGGCAGCGTCCAGATTCACCCCCAGGTGGTCAGGTTCCTTGGTATCAAATTTTTGTATGGCAAAATTAGAAGCAGGCCACACATTGTTTAGCATAAAATACAATCAGCCTTTCTTCACATCCAGAGATATTAACAAGCCTCAAAAACATATAAAACATGCAAGTACACTAACAAAAAAAGAGTATATTTTAGGCTAAGATTACTGTATTGTAAAACAATCAAAACCTTGAAATACTGAATGAGCTCACATTAATTTAATAACACATACACGGAAGACATTTGTTTGACAAGTTATAGTGTAACAGAATAATGTAGGAAATACAAAATAAAATGTCACATATTTAAAAAAAAGATCACGATAAAATAAAATATCATAATATCTTTAGTTTTGTAATAATATATTAATCAACATTAAACAGCGGGATTGATTGAACTCCAAAGGCTCCTTTAATAATCCTTAATTAAGCCTCTCCCTATAATACCAAGCATTTTGGCTTATTTCTGAATTGTTCCTCAGCATTTGTGAATTTTTGGCCCTTTACAACTACTTATATGAAATCTGGGAAGGTTTTAAGGATTCACGACTCCCTTTCTTCATAATAATTCTGATTAGTGGCACAATTTAGTTAACTTTTCATTGAACAAAGGCATGAAAATATTATAATCTTAATAAAAAAATCAAACCTACATTATATGATTTAATGTTTTAATGTATTTACTGTTGCTCTAGCAAATCACATAGGTTGATGCAACTTTCAATAATCTTTTTCAAAAAGAATGAAAAAGATTTATCAAATCTTTTTACCTCCTTCACAACTAATAAGTAATTCAATCTTTACATTCATTGAAAATAAATTATTTTACAAAATCAGTTCCATCTTATAGTTGTATAATATTCATGAATTGCAATGTATATGATAAATATACATTTTCATTATAAACTGAAACAAATTTAAAGAGTAATTATAAATTAAATACATCACTTATCCAGAGTTGCAATCATCAGATCGAGGTAAGTTGTTAAACAACTGAAAATACATTTGAATTTCAGTATTAGATATCCACAAGTTTTGAAGACTTTAACAATGTTTATGATATAACATTATTTAATATACACGGTAAAATTCATATATATTTTCGTTCATGAATATCATGTGTTTTACTGAACGGAAATACGGGGAGTTCCCTTTTGCTGAAAATTGGGACTAACAATGATAAAATAGTATAGGTCATAGTACCTCAGAATTACTTTCCTCCTTCAGGTTTCCCACATCTGCTACTGGTTTTCGGGTTCTCATATCCTCCTGTAAACAAAAATACATTTCGTAATTTAACTTCATGCATTCATTCTGACAAGCTCAAAATCAAGTGCGAATTAAAAATGGAGAGCCCTGTAACAGATCTACCTATTTAGATTTGCTCCATCAACTCAACACCCAATGAAGACAGTTTTTAGAATGATGAGAAAAAATCACAAAAAACAAGAAATCACAAAGCAGCCCAGGCAGAAGTGGGAAGCAGCTGTTTGGAGTGTGATGTGCTGCCTTCTTTAGTCTTTTTAAATAAGCTTTTATATTGTTACAGTAAAATAGAAGAGTTAGTTTATACAAGATTTAAATAGTTTATAGAAGAAATCACCAATGAATATTGAACACACTTCACTGACAGATTCTGAGTTCACAAATACACACCTTACTGGCTGTATTTGGACAGCTTTTTGACTCTTTCAGCACACAATCCTTGACAACCCAGTACTATGACTTTCTGATGCCCTCGCACGGCTTTGAGCATTGCGTATCTTGTCAAGGGGTTGTGATTTTCAACGCAGGGCAGGAAGACACATGAATAGAAGACCTATGTGTACACCTTCCCATGCTCAGAGTCGGGACTGAGGGAATTCCCCTACAGCCTATGCCTTGAGAGACAAGTGACCCCAAGGCAAATTCTATTCTGAGAGCTGAAGCCCCTCTCCTTCAATGTTCAGATGACAGAACCAAATCATATGTCAGAGGAATAGAGAATTTAAAACAAGCTTACAGATGCATTTATTTTATTCAGAACATCTTGCATCTCTCTGTCACTTGCATTTAATTCACAGGAATTGTTTGATATAGATTTTTTTCCTGAAGGATATGAAAATGCATTCCGTTTATGCTGTGTAAAACTTCACCGGCCGGAGAAATTTTCCGGTTAAGGCAGGTTTCCGGCTGGTACAGATTCTGGTTTAGGCAGATTTTACTGTATAAGAACAACATTGATTAACATTAATTTTGAAATGTAGCAATTTCTCAAGGGATGATTCACAGTTTAAGGTGTTATGGCTTATCTAGCCTTTTTAAAAGGTAAATTACTATTAAATAATTTGTATTTTTTTTTTTTTTTAATGTGGCCGTGTTGGAACGAATTTAGCTCTTATGCAGCCTTTCAATGACAAAAGATTCCCCACCCCTAGATTAAGCACACCCCCAACCATGAAGAAGGCTCCAGTCATGAGACGAAATAGTACACATTGAGGTCAAGGAACATGACAAAATTACAAGACAAAAAACAGACCATTCTTAATTTCATTCAATAGCATCTGGGTGCTCTCTTATGTTTGTTTTGCCTCACACATAGTGGTGCTTCAGTAAATTAAGCATGGACTCGGGGCTCCTTTTAGGTGTGGACCCCAATAGCTTTTTAGTCAATATTTTACACTAGTCCATAAATATAGCATGAAAAAAAGAGTATTGATATTTTCAAATGCTAATGTTGTAGAGTATTTTCATAATTGTTTTCATTACATGCTTGATATTTCATCATTATTTGAGAGCTTCATAATTTGGTCATGCTTAGAGAGCAGTAGGATACTAATTGATACTAGACTTACTTTCGATGACACTTGACTTATTTCTTGAATATTTTCAATAATAAAATAGAACACTCTGGAAAAGATAAGTGAACTGTAGTAGAGGAACATTCCCCAAGGATTAGAACAGGGGCCTAATACTGTTAACTGACAATGGACCTTAGGTTTCCATGCCTGACTGGATTGACAAAATTTCTTATCCAATAACTTTTATCTATTAACTGAAATCTAATGACATTATTACCCACACAATTGTGTTGCTACATGATTTCTGATGGAGCAGGAATCCATGAAGTTAAAGTTCCTCTTGTCAAGATGAATAAGTTCACATTCAAAACTGTTGAAATAGACCTTTTAAGATGATTAAGAGTCAAACCAATTTCCTGTCACCTGATTACTCTTCAAATGAACAATTTTTATTAAACAATTAACTTGTATGTAGAGGGTCAAATTTTGCAACATCAAAACTGTTTCATGTTCAAAATGTTAAGGAAGTCAATAAATTTGTTGACAAAATTTAGGTAACTTTGGAGTTAAAAAATCTATATGATTTGAGGGATGTCAATTACATAAAAAAATCAATTTGATAAAAGTATTTTCAATTATAAAAACTGATATTTTGTGATTACAAATTAATTTTGATGACAGAACATTTGGTTGGCTATAAAGTGGCCTATAAAACATTTTGGCTTAAATCTAGGTTATAGTAAATTTGATCTGCACAATTGAGCATCTACACTCTCGAAAGTGGTCTATGTGTCACTTGTTGTAGGTGCTGCATAATAAAAGTACCACTTTAGTTTTGGCAGATGGTTTTAATGTTAGTCAGTTCGTAAGTGGTCTAAAGTCTCATTGTGATTCGTACCATAGATCACTTTAGTTCCATGCTAGCCTTTTCTAAACATTACGTTCCACAAATGACTAGTTAGTGAGCAAATAACAGTAAATCATATGTATTTTATACTGCAACCCTTTAATCACAGAACTGAATCATGTTCACACTCATTTTAAAACACACAACATTGCTCATGATTTTAAACATGAGTAAAAAATACCAAACATTATTTGTGATTTTCAAAATTTAAGACCATTTCAATTATTGTGGTCTTAGACACCCATGCCCTCATTGAGAGTAGCTTACATGATAACATTAGGTGCCTAGAATGAATCTATACTACCCCTTCCTTTGTTTTAAATAACAGAAAAAAGTGTCAATTGGATGATTTTATTTTAACATCCTTTCTTAATTGGACTCTGGAAATATTCAATTAAAAATTGCAATACATAACCACTGGATGGTTTTCTTTTCTTATTTCTAGCAGAAACTTGACAGATCATTTTTTTATTTAATAAAGTAACACTACACCAATTAAAACATGAACTCGTGACATTTTAATGCAATGTTCAATTACCAATTAATAAAATACTCACAGAGTACTGTTAATTTCACATTTAAAATTAAATGTGTATACGTTTTATCAATGACATTCGAGGTATAATTTTAATTAGGCAATTGAAGTATCAATCTTGATATGAGACTTCCTCCATTACAACATGGTAAATTCTGTATATTAAAGTAACATTAATTTCACTTTCCAAACTAAAATGGCTAATGGTGATTACTTTGCAAGAATCTGTTTTGATAAATATAATTTTATCACACTCCTGAATACTACGTCAAAGCTTCATATTTAATTAAGACGGAGAAAACGTGGATTTTACCTTGATTCAACTGCCTCCTCACTGGAAACACTGTTTTGTAGAAATCTAATTACTAATTTTGAATATACACATAAAATGACATTTTGGCTAAATGCTAAGCAGACTCTGACCAAGTGAGAGGTGTCAATGAATTTGTTACTGAGGAAGACTGGATAAATACAAAAACAATGACATGATTTCCATTTTGTCTAAAAATACAAAATATTTGATAATGTTCATCTGCAATTTCTCATACCTGATTCATGACTATATACTCATACTCAGAGCCTCACCGCTTACACTTGTCGAGACTTTTGTTCTCAAATGTGTTTCACAAACAAAAGCTTTACAAATTATGTTACATCAATTTCTTCCGTTTTCTAATGAATTATATTGACAAAATGTATATAGAAGCACATGTGAGAGAGACAGAATTTGTGTACACTATGTCCGGAAACAATATTTCAACTGCACCAATATAAATAAATATATAACATAAGAAAATGTGTCTATTGTTTGACATAAGTGTCTTCAGTATCTTTCACTATTCCCAAGGCTACCTGCTATTTCAGAACCCCATTCCTCACAAACTCCAAACCAGCACTTTTGCTTCTGCAGGCTACTAGGTTGATTTATTGCTACAACTATTTGGTAGAAGCAAATTATCCATATACTGCTTACCTCTGATCGATTCTCTGCCTTTACAGGCATATCTTCTGTAGAAGTTTGAGCCCCCCGAGTTTCCTATGGAAAAAACGAAAGAAAAAAAAATGGTTATAGGCCACAAGGAACAATGAAATAATACACAACACTAGAAGTCTTTGTTCCGTTTTAATTCTATGTTGTTATTCAGCAGGCAAATAACTGACAAATTTTCTATTGAAAATACAGGTTTAACCAAAAGAACAAATAGAAAGGCTGAAGATTCATGGGTCTGAATTTACATTTTGTTTTTTTTCATTTAAAATATATGTAGCAAAGAAAATACATAAAATTATTGTTCCACAAAGTTTCTCATTTGACTTTCCCTTTATACTTATAATTACACAATGCATCATATCTTTAAAAAAGTATGGTACGGTTCAAAGCAATGTAAATATAAAAATCAAAGTGCTTCTGAGACACAGTTTGTAATTTTCTTAACAGATATTTTTTTCACAATGTATTTGGTTTTCTAACAAGACAGCAGTTCTACAACAGGACTGTGATCACAGAAAAGTAAAGTGACTATCAATTAATGAGCAGTAACGAAGAATTTACATTAAAATAATTTTGTTTCCGAGTCAAAGTTCAAATAAGTAAATACATTAAAATACTTTTACATCTCTCAATTGATAATAGGACTTTTACTGTTAAACTAGTAATAAAAATGAATGAAATGTGGAATCAATTAGGTATTTTGAAAAAAATCAATTACCATTACGTTGTTCAAATGACATAAGATCATTGAAGATTTAACAATTACCAGGATAGATTAAAAATATTTGATTGTTAAAGATTATGAAGAGTATATTTTTCGTTATAGGAATTTTCATGGCAAGTACTGTTACAGAATACTTTTACAATCATTTAGAATCAAGGGCATCCCGTAAGAAAATAAGTGAACAATGAAGTTAGTAGCTAGCACATATCTCAACAAATACTGCAAGTAAAGCTACAAAACTTATTTTTTTCGAATCATGGAAAATATAGTTCTGAATGAGAAATGCAATCAACTTGACATGTATTACTTTAACATATTAATTTTGTTAGTTTTCGTCAGTCGGTATTCGCCTTCACACATGACCGGTTTGGAGAGTGGCAAGAGCCACTCCGTCATTTTCACATGAAACTTACTTTTTGCTTTTCCACATGTCGAGGATTCTCAATTTCCCCCGTAATCGAAATCACGGCTGGTCTCTCTTGTGAAGAAACTTCTGATGACATTTTTAAAGATGCGTTTCTAACCTATATTTTCGCACTTGCACAAGGATAAATCTTAAACTATGTTCCTTTAGTTGTAGTAAACCTGGGCCCCAGATACAAAGATAAAGATACACTACTCAATGCATATACATTGCATTCATATATTTATCCGAATATATTCATTTACTTCTATATTTACATCAGTCATTTCCCATATTCCAATTCACGAACACGCCATCGCGTCACTTTGAAAAGCGAGTGCGAGCGAGTGGCAATAGTACAAATATCGATCGATGCGTGACGTACAGATATGACGTCAGCGTACGCATCTTCTATGACGCCACGGCCTCCATGGCAACGATTACCGCTTCAATCAAAATGCAGTATAAATGTAGTGAATGACATTCGACACCTTCTGAAACAAGTGGTGCTATAAACGGCACAATCTCTCTCATACTAGTTTCCTTTTCTCTATAGTCTGTGCTATCTTTTCCGTTTGCCTCACCCTCTTCTCAGGGCACTATCTATTGGCGTCAAATTTGTTTTTCACCTTTTCTCAATGTTTTCGGTCTCTTAATAGTGGAATTGAAATATGACGTAAAGAATATTACAGAAGGGTAACATATGGTTCTATCAATAAATTTTCATTGAAAAAAATGGAGTCGTTTTTAAGGAAATATCGTTTAAGCGCATATGAAATTGTGCAATTTGAAACTTTTCGATTGATTACACAGTTCTTTTTTTCAGCTACACGGGGTATTTTTCTGAATTATATGATTTAATGGTCACAGATTCTAAAAATGTCTTTCAGAAAATTCCATCGCATATAGATTTTTTGTAAATAAAAACACCTATTTTTTACAGTGAACAAAATATACTTTTCTCACAAGTAATAAAAATAAGTTTCTGATATTTCTCACAATTTTAGGTATACTATTTTTTTTCTTGCGAAATCTTTTACTTTTTCTTTTATGCGTTTTTGAACTCGTTTCCGGTTTTCTTCTTTGGTTTCTCGTTTGAGCACCCAACAGTAGTCAGCTAACATATTGACATCCCATTTTCGTTGGACACGTTTCTCAAAATCACGGACATACTGGTGAAATCTTTCACACCGTTCTTCACTATAAGCTCAAATGTTTTCAGGAAAATATTCAACATGGGAGTATGAGAAATGAACTTATAAGCTCATCCAACATCCTTGAGCTTCATAAGCTGCCAGCATGTGTTTTGTAGTCGGGGTCCTTAGTATTCCCCCAAAATTTGTACACTTCATTCTTGAATGAGTCCATGTTTCCTTTTTCTTGTCTCCCATTGTTTCCGTAAAGAGGGCATCAGAAGTTTTTTTTTATGTCGGGGCCAGTGAAAACTTCCTCTTTTAACTTGTCTTCAGACAGTTTCGGGAACTTGGAACACAAAATGTCTGAAACAATCCCCATCTCTTGGCAGTGATTTGACTAACTACTTAAAAAGCCCCAATTTAATATAAAGAAGTGATAATAATACTTGTTCTGGGGAAACCAAGATCGTATTGATGACGTTTTTCTCGCCGGGGGTAAATCACGCCTAGAGGAGGCCAATCAGTTTTTGTCCAGTGCAACTATGTGGCTCTACTATCCCATAAACAAAGAAGGCATGTTTTGTAGTATAAATTCTGCTCTCTACTGATCCATCCCTGCTTGGTTAGTATTTTGACATCTCCACAAACCATCCATTGATGCTCGTGATATTTGATTTTCACAAGACTGCTAGCCAAGTCATTATAGTTTTATTTCATATGAATCCTGTAGAAGAGAGTCCCATAGCAAGTGACGAACATACATGTCCATTATGCAGTAAGATTGCTGCTTTGATGCTAGTTTTAGACGAATAAGTGAATATCGCCATTCTGATGAATCAAATTTTATTTCAAAGCACTTAATGAGCCCATGAACATCATTACAATAAACCAAGTTTGATTCTTTGGAGAAAAACTGAGTAAATTCTCTCTCTAGATGCCTGTACCACGAAACCCAGACGATAGCTGGTTTTTGTTTTTTTAGCCTTGATCCTAGTAATTCGGCTGTATCTTTTGAAATACCCAAGTCTCTTACTAGATCGTTGAACCCTCTCTGAGAAAAAAAGTTGAGGACCCTCGTCAACATAAAAATCTGAACTAGATGCGTTCTGGGAATCACGCAGGGAAATGAATTTTTGATTTTTTTCTAATTTTTGGAGGATTGTTTCTTTATTTTTTCTTTACTGTCAATAGTTTTCTCACCTATGTCAAAGGTTTCCGTGTTAGTTTATTCTCGCTATTTGCTTGGTTGCTAGTTAGTTCTGTATTCGAGCTTACAGTAGATAACGGCCTCTCTAATCTGACGAGATTGCAGGAAAGGTCAACGTCCGTTGAGTTTCCTTTCGAGGTAACTTGGTTTCTCGCGGTCGACTCAAAGGGTGGTTAAAAAGGGGAAACCATCAAGAGCAAGGTTAAGGCTAGAATTTTCATTCACCTTATCGCTTTCGGGAAGTGTAGGTTCCAATACTTTGGGAGAAACATTATTAGAATTATAAATAATCTCATTAGTTGATTCTGTGATTTCTCCTTCCGTAGGAAGAGGTAGAGTATTAGTTAATTGGGGGTTACATGGACTTGGGCAGTGTTTTGCTATGTGGCATTGATTTTTACACAAAAAAACGAATAGGAACATCAGAGTTTACATATATCCAATGGGGGACATTATCTATACACACTTAAAACGATTCAGGTAATTTTTGTTCACCATCCGGTGAAGCAAATGTTTGGCACCAAAAACTGAGGATGTGGCTCAAATTGGAGTTATTAACTCCAGCACGAAGGAAGGTTACAATTACAGGTACCACATCGGTTCTAACACAGTTCCATACGGTTCAAACGGTAGTACTATACGGTTCTAACACCTAATGTAAATACTTTTTCTTCAGTCAGTTGATGTGGAATACTTGGGAAAACATTTAATAAATTCTTTTGTTCCTAAAAAATAATGGTCTTATTCGGAAAAATTGATTAGACAACGATTGTCTTATGATTGTAGACTAAATCATCTGCAATTTTCTTGCTGGAAAGATGAATACACAATCTGTTGTTCGATATTTTAGAAGCAAACTAGCTATGAGAGGGGTTAACTTTGGTAAATAACTTTTCAATGAATTCTTCAATTGGCGTACTTTTTGCCCAGTCTATGATGATAACATTTTCTTTTTTGGGAAAAGCAGATTACACAGGAATTTTACCGTAATGAATAGTATACTTACTGTTCTAGACTCCTGAAGTTTGGTGAACTAGAGAGGGCTTCATAATGGTCACAAAAAAAGTCACTTTCCACTTAGTTAAACACGATTTCACTTCACATGATAATAACTCTACATCTACCGTGTTTTACATGAGACTGACAACCCTTGAGTCAGTGAACGCACGCAAAAACGTGATTTTGCCCGGAGCGGACGGAGCGTCTGACCAACACGACGGTCAGGATGCGACTGATATATATGGCATAATATACGTAGTACAGAGAAAGTGATGTAATGCTACGGAGAAAAGATTTCAAGATTCCGACGGACATACACGTTTTGGGGTTCCCTGAAACCGAAAAAGTGTTGTATTTTCTTTTCAAAACATCCGTCTGTCTCTCTGTCCGAAATGGAACAGCACTAGCACCTATGATGATAATGATAGAAAGGAACATTGTAAACAAAATCTGATGAGCAAATGTGTTTGCTCCCGTGTAATGAATCTATTTTGCATCGAAAAACCAGCTACAAATATGATATACAATTATTTTTGTCCAAATAACCTAACTCCCCAAACATCAAAAACTCTGCTCTCAATTAGCGAATCAAGGGCTCAAGAAAACGTGCGCGGATAATACCACACCATACATATCTACTAAATACTAAAGTCAATATTATTCCTATTAAAAATATATTTGTCTGTTTTTATCGTTCACGCCTCAAATTTCAAACTCTGCTAATTTAAGTGAATATACGTTTATGGACAACACAGTTCAAGAAGGGAACTTATTTTTCTGAAAAATGAATTAAAAATGAAATTTAACGATTTAAAAAATATGGTAATAAATGATAATTATTACTCATAGGTGAATACATTAGTTTTATTATTTTTGGCTCAGAAGTGCTTTTCTTGAGGTACGGAAGAACATGCGAGAGTTCTCGCACAGGTGCGCTAGTTTTAAATACTTTGCCCGGCTCGTTCAGTTTTGGGCGCAGACAGTTACATGAAAAAATATCGATAAAATACTTGTTTAAACTTACGTTTCATTACAAAAATAGGTTGGAGATCAATCCGATGAATCAAAACGATTTATTTAAATGCCGGAAAGAGTACAGTAATTCACAGCATTTCACCAATGTGTTCGTAGGTGCATTGAAACAAAAAACAAGTGTTTTTCTACACTTTTTCATGATATCCTGGAGAGAACCGGTTAAGTACTGCGCCAATCGATTTCACTTGAGAAGAATCGAATGAGCTGTGGAATGTGCTCTGTAGCTGCTGTAAGTCACTAAACGCATTTTAGGTGCTTAGAAAAAAAAACACGTTTTCAGAGAGATTTCCTAGAATATTCTGGATGGATACAAAGAACAAATTCTAGGACAAAAAAATATTATCAAGAGACCGAGCCGCGACGAACGACACCGCATTTGCCACGATTGGTGGACCGGAAGGGTTTAACGGCGAGTGACGGATGGACGGACGACGAACGAACACAGATTATGCTATTACTATATACCATCAAGTCACGCTAGAGGCGATCTTGTTAAAATGTCCTGCACTGTTCACGTGAACTCTGACAACTTTGTATGCTGGAGCCGGGTTCGTTTCCTAATTGAACTAGTCAATTCTTTGAACAGTCATGCATCATTTGTAATAAAATAATTATTTTTTTATTAATAATACTAATACTAATAATCAAATATAAATATTTTACAAATGCATAATTTCCTAGAATCATTATTCTTTATGGCACATGGACAGCACTTTTTGAATAGGATGAGATCAGAGTGAAGAATGGAGTTTCACAACGGAAATGAAACTTATGTAATACAAAGATGTTAATCTCTTTCATGCTCCGCTTCGGCAACAGGTCAATCTCAAAAGGAAATATCTGACAATTACAATCGGGCACTCATTCAATACATCCGTGAATGTACGAGCCGAAGTACCGTATGATTTTTGTGTTAAGCGTCAATCAAACAATGCGTCATGAAACAGAAATTACTTTTGTAAATTATGTAAAACTATGTAAGAAAAAATGGAGTATCTCAGGAAATGTTAATTTTAATATCTTGGAGAGCGGGTTCTTCAACGAGATCAAATTTCATACCTTTAATACAGTGGAGGTTGACTGACACT